CAAGGAGGCCGAGTTCTATGGCTGTACCGATGTTGCGAATTTCTCGAAATATATCCGCTATGACTCAGACTCCTTCAACTACACAACCTTCTCGAACCATTCGCCCAAGCTATCAATCGAATTCTAAAGTTGAACCCGCCATGTTCGATGATCTCACTTTTAAGCCGGCCTGCGATGATCGAACCTTAGTCAAATATTCCGCAGCAACTGGTGCTGTTATAGCTGCCACACCACCGCGTCTCGTTGCCGAAATCACATCACCCAGTTTCCTCGATTACGAACTTATCTCAGACTTCTTCCTGACTTTCCGAGCGTTTCTGGAGCCCGTGGATCTTCTTCGTATGCTTATTGCAAGACTGCGCTGGGCTTTGGCTCGTGATGATGAGACAGGCATGGTTGTTCGCGTTCGCACATTTGTTGCCCTTCGGCACTGGATTCTCAACTATTTTATGGACGACTTCGTTGTGGATTATAACCTCCGACAGACTTTCTGCGAACTACTCAACGATTTTGTGGATGAACTTTCGCAATGCAACCGGTCTCGAAAGGTTCAGCTGAAGATTCTTGGAGAGTTGAAGAAGTGTTGGCGAAGGGTTTGCGCACTATACTGGGATGGCCCGAATTTCGACGATACTCTTGATTCCAGCGTTCCTATTACCCCTGGTGGTATTGCTGGACATCGTGATCCCAGTCTGGATCCATCTTTCTGGGACCGTGATGATGGCGAAACACCCCGTATCGAAAGTCTACTACCACTCAGAAGGAGTCCCACCGAACGAACCAGTTTCATCGCCGATGTTTCTCGAGCTGGCCATGTTGGAGATTCTGTTGTGGTTGAGCACCGTCCTAGCACCCCTGAACGGCAAACCGCGAGGGACTCAGCCGAACAGCAGACATCGCCAATTAGCATGACTAGCATGGATATCATTTCGTGCTCTTTCCCAAGCAAGATCAAACCTGCTCAGCCTCATCAGACGAACCCTCTGGGTGCTCACCCTGTATCGACTTCAGGCTACCATACTGGACCAGTAGCTACGACTCCTCGTGCTCTTGTTGGCAAGCGTGTACGACCCCAAGCTGCTCACAAGCGCAACAACAGTTTGACCGATTCTCTGCGAGAACACAGCACGGATAAACTGTCATTCAAGGATCAAGAGTTCATGATGACAGCCCCATATGGAGGAAGTCTTGTCCGAGGAAATTTGTTACCTCCTGGCCAGGCTTTTGTCGATGTGGAACCGGATGAGTTTTCTACCAGCTTGGTACCTTCACCCAACCTTCACCCTGAAAGTCGAAGCCTTGTTAAGGAAAGAATACCCGCTGGCGCGATGTCTGGACACGGTATGAAGAAGCTACTGGGAACCGTTCGAAGAGCCTTGAGCACTAGGGGACAAGGCATGTCTCCCACTCAGGGGAGCCTCGTTAGCCTTGGCAACATTGGTCCCCGTGGCGCAGTAACGAATCGCATCCCTGGAACGGCTGTCGTACCTCAGAGCCGCCATAGACCTAATGGTGCTCGCCCTACTGTCAGAATTGACTTGCTCGGTGCTGAGATCGTCGAGGACTTCAAGAAGGCGGTACGAGATGAGGCTGCTGCTGAAGCTGATCGTCGCGGATTGCCACCACCAATGTCTCCTAACCCATCTTTAACTCCTACCGGGGACTTTCACTACTCGGCTGCTCATATGGATACAACCACCTATGATCATATTACACACGAACATAGACATCGACCGGTTAGCGACATGGCTATTACTACAGGCAGCAAATCCATTGTGATTGTGGATGACACAACACCTTTTGACCCATCGCTTCTCCACCGAATTCCTAACAGCAATGCTTCTGTTGAGGCCTTCGCGGATACTTTTAAGTTGACGGGAGGCGATCCAACTCCTCCCTCTACTCCTCCTGCTGGCAATGGCGGAAACACACCTCGACGATCTTCATACCTCCTCAACCAACATGTTGTTCGGCCATCGTTGGATGAAGATCCTCTGCCACCATTTGTTCCTGACTTCGAGACCCTCGCCCCTGTCACCAGCGCACCCATGTCAGAGGATGGCAGCCGAGTCTCACACTCGACAGCAGCTCGAAGTACTCGCAACCGCCCTCCTGTGTCGTATCAGAACCACCAACGCAACAAATCTGGTAGGACTCATCGGTCTTTGAACTCGATCCTTCGCCGCCGCAGCTCATTCACAAACGGCCTCGCTCGCCGATCCACAGTCCAGAGCTTCGATGCCACAACAGTCTCTGCACAATCGATCGCGGAACCTGAGCCTGAGGAGCCTATGCCACCGCCTCTGCGAATTCTTCGACGACGACCTGGAGGAGACCTGCGAGCTGCCACGAACGTGGGAGAGCTGGACCCTGTTACGTTGAGGAGATCGCAATCTGTGGGATCATTGACAACATATTCCGAGTCTATTCGTGGCTCTTTCATGCAGAGCCCTCGGGTGGCGTCTTTTGGACGTGGTTCTTTCGGCCAAGGCTCAGTTGTCTCCATTGAGTACGTGCAGCCTAGAAGTGAGGCCTTCTCTGTCGGACAACTTGCAGACAAACCGAAGCGAGAGCTTTCACTATTCAGCACCCACTCATCCAAGCCAGCTATGCGCCCCTCGTTCGAAAAAGAGGCACAGAAACTGGCTCAAATCCCGGATGATGATGACGACGGTGGAATCGAGTCTGCTTTAGCCAAGCTTGAGGGCAAGCTCCCCGAGAAGAAGTCACACAAATCGGCTGTCAGCCTTCAAGCTCCCCCTCAGACAATTGGCGAGGTCATACTCACTTCAGAGCAGTCAGAAGTGGATCGCAAGAGGAATCACCATGAACAAGAGCTGATGGTCAGGGAGACATTCATGCTGGACCCTGAGGATAGTGAACCAGAGCCTTTGATTGAGCCGCAAGAGCAGAACCTTTCGCCTGAGAGACCTACAACCGAAGCGAGATCATTCTTGACTGGTTCTTCGCGCGAGTCGTACTCTTCTGTCCCCATCCTTGATCGAGACTCGGCAAAGGGTCGTCCTTGGACCAACATGTCCATCCTCGAGGGCTCAGATGAAGAAACAACGCCTCGACCACACAAGACCGTTTTGTATACCGAAGATGGAGGCGACTCGCAGCATGCTTCTTACGACTTTATTGAGAAGACTCGGAGCATTGAAGGCATCAAACCCGGCAACACTGCTCCGTCAGTGGATGAGGACCAATCTTTCCTTGACGATGACAGCGATCTTTCATCGGAGATGTCTGCAGAAGCCCTCGAATACGACGACTCTGAATACGGCGATGGTATTTTGCCTCGAGTGAAGCTCCCTGCTCATCCCCTTGGCTCGCCCGCTCCACCTCCTAACCGCAAGCCTCCTTCTCCTCCCATGACTTTGGTGCAAGCACTGGAGATGTCTCCTCCTCACTGCTTCACAGTCCCTGAGTTACATGAGGATCAAGTTTGGGGCCAGAAGCCTCTTCCTCCAACTCCAGAGACTACGCCTACCGCTGCGTACGTTCAGACAGCTGATCAAACATCAGCCGATGCACTTCGTCAAGTTGCTAAGGTGAACTCCTTCGAGAGCAACAAGTATTCTGCTCACTTGCCATTCATCCTGGCCTTTGACTCAGAGATTCTCGCTCAACAGTTCACACTCATCGAAAAGGACGCGCTGAACGAGATTGACTGGAAGGAACTCATTGACATGAACTGGAAGGATGCTGCCCATAGCGACTCTCGCTCGTGGGTTGACTTCCTTCGCAACTCTGACGCCCATGGTGTTGAAGTAGTCATTGCGCGCTTTAACATCATGGTCAAATGGGCCATATCTGAGATTGTCCTGACGCAAGGCCTGGAGGAGAGAGTACGATGCATCACCAAGTACATTCATATCGCTACTCACTGTCGCCGTTACCGCAACTTTGCTACCCTCGCTCAGCTCACCATCGCCCTGTCGAGTAACGAAGTCGCTAGACTCACCAAGACCTGGCAGCATGTCGCTCCTCAAGACCTGAAGACACTGCAAGACCTTGAGAAGCTGGTCACCCCCATGCGCAACTTCTACAACCTACGTGCGGAGATGGAGGTCGGCTCTGACCAAGGCTGCATTCCCTTCGTCGGCATTTACACCCATGATCTGCTTTACAATGCTCAGCGACCATCTGAGATGGCTGGTTCACCTACAACGCCTCCCCTGATCAACTTTGAACGATGTCGCATTGCGGCCTCTGTTGTCAAGACACTGCTTAGGTTGTTGGAGGCTAGCACCCGATACAAGTTCCAGCCCATTGAAGGCATCACTGAACGCTGTCTCTGGATGAGCGCTTTGAGCGACGAGGACATTCGACGTCACTCGGAAATGCTCGAATAAACTCCACAACCATGTGGTTTACCTACCACATTTTCACAATTCATACACATACGGGAACGATAATAACGATTTATGACTCACCGACCCAAACGGCGTTTCATTTCCTATGTTTCAACACCACAAGAAGAGCATAACCAGCATGCCTTCACATTATACCCATCTCATAACTCGTTCACATACCACCCCACCAGGAGTTTCTCTTTTCTCCCAAGACATACAACATAATCATCATTACAATCAACAGCATCTGGGACACAAAGCAAGGAGTTGGGCAAGCTTTTTTTTGTGTATTTCGCACGATTCATCTATGAGGGTTTCTCTTATCCTGGTTTTTGATCATACCCGCACTGCGCAAGCGTCATATTGCGTCTTGTTCCTTTTTTTGGTTTCTCAGTTAATAGAACGGCCAATTTTGGATTCACTTTAATTAGTGTTAACGATAGGCGGGGATAAGGGGAGTTAGTTGTTGATATATCATAGGGATTAGGATGAGTAGATGTAGTGAGGATTGACAATTGATACCATGTTTACGATGAGTTGGTTCTGTGTTTTGTGAGCTCTTATGCTGTTAACTACGTGATAGATGATTCACATCCTTGATGACGCCGGTTCAAGTACTGATCATCACCAACTTGGCCTACAGAAGTTTTACCAATAAACACAAGACTTCACAGGCATATTTACTGCACTTAATCATGTCATGGGCAAACCCAGGTCAGACGACTCATATTTTGACTTTTCTCGCATCAATACAAATTCCATAGAAACGAGGCGGGATAACGATCAAGTCCATCCCTTCAGCAGCGCAGGGCTTTCCCTCTCCATCCCAAAACAAGGAGGAGAGTATCTTTCCCTCATTAGCACCGCCGAGTTGAAAACCTCAATTCCCACGGATGTTAATTCGTAAGATAGTCAGCAAGAAGAATTGTGTTATCGAAAGGGGGGGAAGGAAAAGGTTAACGTTGTCGAATAGTTTGATTGAACCACAACACACATCCACACGCTTTTCTGCTCTCTCTCTCTCTCGTCGTAAAACCGTTCCAAAAGTGTTCAAATTCAATCTCTGTTTTGAATTTGTTTTGGTATCCTCTTTTTTGAATTCTTGTTTTACCAGTCAATGGCAGGCTCTTGGTGTCCCTGGCCATCACCCTCCTGGGGCTCAGTACACTACCACTGAGACTCCTTGGGGGCCTCGGCGGAAGCAGCCCACTCGGTGTTGGCGGGGGCAGCACCCCACTCCTCACCGGCAGCACCGTCCCAGCCGGGGGCAGCGGCACCGGTGGCACCAGCGAAGCCAGCGGCGGGAGTCTCCCAGTCAGCACCAGCGGAGTTCTGGAAGCCGGACTCGATAGCAGCGGGACCCTCCTCGTCAGCGCCGGGGAGCTTCTCCTCCTCAACCTTGTCCTCAGCCTCAGCCTCGGGGTCACGGTCTGCGAGTTGTTAGTATGTATTGCTGGTGTCAGTTGATGGGGAACATACAGAAGTAAAGATCGACCATGACGTCCCAGGGGGTCTCGCGGTTGTAGATGGTACCACGGAGACGGAGGACCTCACGGGCGAGCATCCACCAGACGGCACCAATGGCGTGGCGACCCTTGTTGTTGGTGGGGATGGCAACGTCAACGTACTCGGTGGGAGAGTCAGTGTCGGCGAGGGCAATGACGGGGATGTTGACGTAGGAAGCCTCCTTGATGGCCTGGGCGTCGGTGCGAGGGTCGGTGACGATGATCAGACGGGGCTCCTTGAAAGATCGGGTGATGTAGTTGGTGAAGGAACCGGGGGTGAAGCGACCAGCGATGGCGGTGGCACCAGTGTGGGCGGCGAACTTGAGGACGGCACGCTGACCGTAGGGACGGGCAGAGATGACACAGATATCGGCGGGGTTGTCGACGGCAGCGATGATACGGGCAGCCAGAACGATCTTCTCCCTGTAAGATGCGCCATTAGCAATTGTGCGCGAAAACATTTGGTGTTTTGGTTTCAAGATTGTCTGCCCCTCCTCCGAATAGCTTCATTTTTTCGCAATTCGAACATGCGCTTTCAACCCTCCCTCTGAACAATCTTGAAGCCCAAAAATTCCACCAAAATTCCAATTCAAACATACCAGGTCTTGCCAACGTTGATGACGTTGACACCATCGGCACGGGTCTTCCAGAGGTAGTTCTCCATGTGAACCTGGAGGTTCTTGGAGCCGAGGTGGCACTGAGCAGCCAGGAGGGTCTCAATGTCCTGGCTGGTAGCGTTGAAGAGGGCGGGCAGGTTGGAGGGAGCCATCTTGACGGATTATCTTCTCTTGTCTTGGGTGACGAAAAGGAAGGATGGCTTGGAAGGTGACGGCGAAGAGGATTGTGGTGTTGCGTGCAAAGAATCGCAAATCGAGAAGTTCGCGACGGAATTTTGAGACCACCAAAATGTGTGTGGTGGGAAGCCCTGATGGCCCTGAATCCGCTAGGCTAAACATGGGCTAGCTGGGCGATAAGAGTTCAAGGTCCAGTATCTCCACGTGATGGCAACGCTAAGCCGTTTTGGTACTCAGCGGGCTTTTGGTACGGCATTGGCAGGGTGGGCTAAGGAAAATTTGGGGCGGGCTTTGGACGACAATCCATCAGTCTCTGTATCAAAGCAGTAGGTTCATGCTTCAATCATGCCCCCTAGAATACCGGCGCTGCCGCGCTTCGGCACATTGAACCGTATGTATTTATATTGCCATTAGATTTTTCAATGCTAATCAATTGTTCAGTCTGCCTCCGACCCGCCGCAAAGCCCGCTACCCCGAACTTTCTCCCCATCGTCCAAACGGCCAACTTGTCCCAGCGTGAGAAGAAGCGCAAGGCGAAACAGGATCCCTACCGATGGGCTCAGGCTCAACAGCGAAAGGCTGCCAATGTGCAACGGCGTGAGGAGCTCGCCCGTGAGAGGGATGAGGCGTGGGGTGATCCTGTCAAGGGAAAGACAACTCCCTTTATAGAGTCTCTTGAATCGGCTGGCCAAGAGGCTACATCCCGTGTTCCTGTGGATGGAAGTGGAAACCCGCTCGCCGAAGCACATGAGCTACCGACATCTCCGGAACTACGAAACTACTTCCTTACCGACTCAGAACTCACTGAGGCTGCCAAGCACGCATATACCCTTACCAAGCCCATGATCGGCGTGGTCGAGTCACAGATGGAACCCGGAAGGGGAGAGGATAAGACGAAGCAACACGAGCAGCGCCACCAGAAGGCTATTGAGGCTCTGCGCCGTATCACATCGCTCAGTAACAGCAGCGCAAAGGACCGCTTCCACGCCAACGTGAGACGAATCGTTGAGGAATTTGGTCGTCACAATACAGACCTGGTTCTGCAGGGCAAGCCAAAGTCAATTCATCCCAACAAAGTGGACATGCCACCCCGAAGCGGTCCTGATACAGGCAGCTCCGAGGTCCAGATTGCTATCTTAACAACCAAGATCAACAACCTCTCTCAGGCTCTGCAGATCAACAGAGGATACAAGGATAAGCACAACAAGCGAAACTTGAGATTATTGCTGCACCGAAGGCAAAAGCTGATGAAGTACATGGACCGCAAGGAGAGGGGAAGTGAGCGATGGACTCACATGGTTGAGAAGCTGGGTCTTTCACCTGCGACATGGAAGGACCAGATCTCGCTGTAAGACAGGGCGAGAGCTGAGATGATTTTGTAGAATAACTTGTTTCTCTCTATGTACAATACAAGCCACCTGAAAGATGGAGCGACGATGCCGCCTTTTGCATCTACCTATCTGTCCTTTGCGCCAGTGTGGGAACTAATCCGTGCCATTACGAGCTCAGTTGCTGCTATACTACACAAAATCCTGCTAAAAATGAAAACGATGCCAATACTCATACTCGATTTAAAAGACGCTGATGTAGTTGCCGATGCGCTCCTTCTGGTTCTGAGCTATGCATTCGGCAATCCAGGTAATGTTGCGGATTTCCTGTGGTTTGTTAGTCTGATGAGAGGTACTCATGTTGGATTTACTAACCTGTTCTCGGAGCTTTACCCAAGCGTAGACAATGGCGTGAGTGAACTGCCTGGTGAAAGCCTTCTTGGAAATCTCCATCTCCTTCTGGTAAAACATATCCTCCAGGGTCTTGGTCTCACCAGCGCCGCCACCCATGTTTCCAGGCCCTGAGGGCCCGCCACCGACTGAGATGGTGTCAAAGAAAGACTTGTAGTCATGAACACCATCAACTGCCAGACGAACACCCTCAGGGTCCTCAGCTCGGGAGAGCATGAGAGTTCCTTCAGGGTAAAGCTTGCCAAAGTTGGGGTAGAGCTTGTTACGGTCTTGCTTGGAAAGGTCTGTGCCGAAAGAGTTGAGTGTGATGTTGATGGCTCGGCGGTCAGCCTCGAACTCGAGAATCTCAGACATGACCTCAGCAGTGGGTGAACCAGCCATCTCAGGGTGAGTGTTGACAAAGTTGTAAAAGTCCTCAAGGTAGTTCTTGTAGAGTGTGTTTCGCACAATCTCAATGTTCAACTCGTCGAGATCCTGGTGGCTAAGACTGCCCTTGAAGTATGGGGCAAGAGGGGTCTCGATAAGCACACTGTTGTAAAGTTCCTCGATGTTTGTAGCAACGCAGAGAACTGGCATAGTCTCGAACCATCCCAGAGGATGGCATCGCTCAAGAAGCTCACGGGTATCCCGCTCATGAAGGGTTCCTGTGATGAGAAGGGCGACGTTGTCGATCATGTAGCCGTAGGTGACGTAGTCCATAAAGGTAGCAAGTGAGCCGACAGCTTGAGCGCGCACATATCGGAACTCTGAGATGAGCTTGTCGGTGGTCTTGGCCGCGAGAGCTGAAGTCGAGGGGTTAGGTGGTAGGGAAGCGAGGAAATCGCCATATGAAGGGCCAAGCTGAAGCTTGAGATCTTGTAGTCGTTAGTATACTGGAGTTGGTGATGAAGTCATCGTCGCGTACCATCAATCGTCTCGCATTGAGTCAAGTTGTTGTAGGCAGCGCCTGTGAGAAGACCGTTGCGGTAGCCTCGGACAATTCCTTCGACGTAGCTGTTCCTTATGATTAGTCTCCAGAACCACTCGTATGAAGCTCCATCTTCAAGCTAATACGCACCCGCCGTTGACGTTGTAGAGAAGACCCTCCATCTTGATTCTCGTTCGTGGTAGTTCGGTCGGCCTTGATCTATCGTATTTCAGGTCTTGAGGGCAATAGGGCGTCTTCGTGGCCGAGGCGATGAATCAACTGGATTGTTTAAGTTGGCCGCCTAACAAACCTCAGCCTGCGACGCAAGCTTGCCCAGACATCCTGTCGCGAGCGTCGACACGTGAGTGGCCAGGAGTCAGTGGCTGGGGGTACGTACCTGATGCAGAAACCGGAACCAAGTAGCTCCGGCAGCCGAAGAACCTGCATCACACTTTCCGCGCCAGAACCAAGACCAAAAAAATTGAGTGGAGCCTTCCCAAGCTTCATCTGAAATTTTTCCATCGCCAGCCCACCCTCGATCTTTCCTTTCGCAGCCGCGCACAACGAACCGGACTGTGCCTCGCGAGGAAGCCACGACGCCAATCGAATAGAGCGAGACCAGAAGGAAGGAACCAAAACTAATTCACAATGTCGCTCTTTGTGCTTGCCGAGACGCCGGCAGGGTAAGTCGCGACTCTTGCTCTTGATCTCGACCATCAATTCATGATGGCGAGGCAGGTAAAGGTCTACCAAGGCATGGGCTAACAATTGGTAGCTATGGCCTGTTCAAGGCTACTGATAAGAAGATGCTCAAGAACGAGGAACTCGCTGCTGAGCTTGGACGACCTGAGAAGGTCGTTGAGATGTAAGTTTTTTGAACATTTTTTATTTGCGAAAACCTATGCCATTGAGCACCCGAAAATGTCTTCAATGGCAGAGTGGACCATCGCCAAATGGCGAAATACCATCAAGAGTTTAGCTGACATCTTTCCCCTTAATAGGCTCAAGCTCAAGAAGTTTGTCAAGTTCGACAGCGCCGCTACCGCTCTCGAAGAAGCTGCGTCTCTCAAGGAGGGCAAGGTCCCTGAGCTTCTCACCCAACTCCTCGACGACCTGAAGTCCGAGAAGAAGGCTTCGCTCGCCGTCGCCGATATGAAGCTGGGCACTGCCATCTCTAACATGCCCTCGCTCAACATTTCTCCTGTTTCTGGCTCCAACACCATGGACCTTTTCCGTGGCATTCGAGGTGGATTGCCCAACCTTATCCCTGGTCTGCTCGAGGAGAACTTTGACCGCATGGCCCTGGGTCTTTCTCACTCCATGTCGCGTCACAAGCTCAAGTTCTCTGCCGATAAGGTCGACTCCATGATCATCCAGGCTATTAAGCTTCTCGACGACCTCGACAAGGAGCTCAACGTCTACGCTATGCGAACCAAGGAGTGGTACGGATGGCACTTCCCTGAGATGGCCAAGATTCTCAACGACAACTTGGCTTACGCTCGCGTCATTCTTGCTGTTGGCATGCGCACCAACATTGCCGATAGCGACCTCTCTGAGATTCTTCCCGAGGAGATTGAGACTTCCATCAAGGCTGCCGCCGAGATCAGCATGGGTACCGAGATCACCGATGAGGATCTTGACAACATTAAGCTCCTGGCTGACCAGGTCATTGTCTACTCCAACTACCGAACACAGCTGTCCTCGTACCTCGAGAGCCGCATGCGCGCTATCGCTCCCAACCTGACTGCTCTCGTCGGCTACCTCGTCGGTGCACGTCTCATTGCCCACGCTGGCTCTCTCATCAGCTTGGCCAAGTCTCCTGGTTCCACCATCCAGATTCTCGGTGCCGAGAAGGCTCTCTTCCGCGCTCTCAAGACTAAGCACGATACACCTAAGTACGGTCTCATCTACCACTCTTCACTCATCGGTCAGGCGACCGGCCGAAACAAGGGTAAGATCGCTCGTATGCTGTCTGCCAAGGCTGCTCTAGGTCTCCGTGTCGATGCCCTAGGTGATGCCGAAGACGACGCTGATGAGGAGGAGCGCGCTATCCTTGGTCTCAGCAACCGCATCAAGCTTGAGAACCACCTCCGCAAGCTCGAGGGCAAGCCTCTTCTACCCAAGGGCGCCAACGTCACCCCCTCTGGTGAGATTGTTGGTGCTGGTCAGTTCACTCTCAAGGAGACCCGCCGATACAACGGTGACGCCGATGGTGTTGCTGATGATGAGGAGACCAACGAAGCTACCCCCGCAAAGAAGCTCAAGAAGGCCAAGAAGCTCATCGAGGAGGTTGACGAGGAGATGAAGGATGCTGAGGATGACAGCGACGACGAGGCTGCCACTCCTGGCAAGCCCAAGAAGCTCTCCGAGGCCGATTACGAGCGCCTTGCCGAGGAGGCCGGTATCTCAGTCAAGAAGTTCAAGCGCAAGTACGAGCGAGGTGACGTTGAGCTGAACGCCGATGGCACACCCAAGGTCATCAGCAAGAAGGAACTCAAGAAGCTGCGAAAGGCCGAGGAGAAGGCTACACCTTCCAAGTCGCAACCCGCCGCCGAAGAGACTGATGGCAAGAAGAAGCGCAAGCACGACGACTCAGAAGACGAGGAGCCCAAGAAGGAGAAGAAGCAGAAGAAGAAGAAGCGACACTCTGAGGCTTAGAGACCCTCAAGTAAACGTCCACGGCGCAAGTCGTGACGATGCTGAATCGGACACAATTGTAGGACTTTGAGGTTAACCAATCTCATCCTACCTGCTTTACTCGTACTCGTCTAAACACTGACGACGAACCCGCTCCAAAACGAAAGATCATATTTCAAGTCAACCCAACAACAGACTATTGGACGGTTCCCGATGTGTAGATATATGATACCTGAGAGACTCCTGGCATGGCATCTTCTGCCCGCACCTTGTTTCCTGGCTGGCTGGCGTTTGGGTGGAGGGCATATTGGCGTGATTTGGTTTTATCCCTTTTTCGTATTTTCAACTTGACCCTCTGTCCCCTCCCCGTCCCCTGGGTGGATGCGCGGTGACTTCTGGAGAGGAATTACTATGCTTTGATGTATCATTACGGGAGGGTGAACAGAGGGATATAGAAGAGAAAATTGTCAAGTTTAAAAGTTAATCCTCAAGTTTGGCCTGCCCTGGATATTGTGATTGCTAAATGAGTTGAAATCGTGATCATGAATCGTCGAGCAACGTGATATCTAGTCCATTTTCTATATATACGAGTGGGTTGAAGTATTTGTTGATGGTCATCGTATCGTAGAAGAGGTACAAAGATCAAGACTATCCTAAATTTACCTAAACGTACTAAAGTTACCTAAGTTAAGTAAATCTAGCATAAAACTCAGGCAATTTTAGGGTCCATGAATTTTGAAGCTTTTAGTTGTTTTTATGTTCTGAGGCCAGCCACCCCAAGTTTCTCAGGCCACTACAGCCGGCAGAGTCTTCAGGCACACAATCAGACGAAACACTTTCACCAACACAGCAATATCAGAAGGAAAAGGGTATATTCATAGCGATTGGGTATTTTCCATGACGTTAAGGGATCATTCAGAAACCATCCTCATTAAATGCTCATCTGAGCAAACCAAGGGTATCCATCACCAAAAAGAAGAGGCACAAGACACCACCCCTATCCACCACCACTCCCTCGATAGAAGAAGAAAGTAGAATACATACACTAAAAGTGAAGAAGCGCAATGAGCGGTGGCGATTGTTGTTGAGATGGGTATCAGAGTGCAGCGTCGAAAGCAAAAACGTGACAGGTCATTCAGTTGAGTTAGACGGGCAAAGCTGGGGTGTAGCTCTGATGAAGACGAGAAGAGAGCAGTCGAGGCAATGCTTCCGAAATCAAGTAGACCAGGCTAGAACCCGAAACGGGAACCCTCAAGCGTTAGCCCATTGCCTCAAGTGATACGCACGAGGGAAGAACGCCGTGATTAGATGTTCTCCACGACGCGGGCGTTCATGGCCTGTTGGAAACCTGGGTCCTGACCTCCAAAGTCATTTTCGTTATCCAGGGCACGAGCGCTGGATTCGCCAGTCTGGTTGGCCATGGCGGCGTTGAGAGCGTTGCCCATGGTCTGATTAGCAGCAGGTAAGAAGATAACCTTGCTATTAGCAGACTTGGCCATGGCTTGCATAGCCTCGAGGTATCGGATCTGCATGGCAGGAGCCGAACTCAGGATATCGGCAGCTTGTCGCATAAGCTTGGCGGATTCGACCTAGGAGGAGTATGTTAGTCATATGTGACCAAGTGAAAAATGAGGTAGAATGTTACCTCAGCCTTAGCGGCAATGATCTTGCTTTCACCGATACGCTTGCTCTGAGCAGCCATAGAGAGTGACTCCTGCAGCTCCTGACTGAAGACAATGTCCTTGATGAGCATGCTCTCAACCTGAACACCCCATCCAGCGGCGACGTCTTCAATGATTTCTCCAATGGACTGAGCAATCTCTTCACGGCGCTCGATGACATCCTGAAGAACGCGAGCACCGACGACGTGCCGGAGAGTGGTCTGAGTGCGCTCCATGAGAGCCTGCTTCACGTTATTGATACCGAAAGCAGCCTTGTGAGGGGAGACAATGTGGTAGTAGATAACTGAGGTCAAGCGAAGAGTAACGTTGTCCTTCGTCATGCAAATCTGCTCGGGCACCTCTGTGGTCTGAATCTTTACATCGATCTGAATAAGTCGCTCGCTGAGAGGGTTGATATTAACCAGACCAGGATCGACGGCCTTGTAGAACTTTCCGAACTTCGTGACGAGGCCGACGTTACCCTGGTTGACCTCCTTGAAGGGGTTGGGGCAGATGATGCAGCAGGGAACGGCACCCATGGTTCCAATGATAGTTCCGAGAGCGTTCACTAGAGGTTTTAGCCGAAGTGTCAATATCATGATTTCCTTGATACTCACTCATCGAACCATACCAGCCCTTGGGGTTGGCATCGTTCTCAACAACAGTCGCATAACTGCGCTGGAGATCTTCTTTCTTGGGAGGCTCAACTGCCATCTTGTGCTGTGCCATGAAGCCTCCGTTGCCCTCCATCACAGGAGCCTTAGTTGGGTTTGCGGAAGAGCTTCCGCCGTTGATCATGCCCTCAGTGGACGACATTGTGGATTGTGAAGTGTGCTGTGTTGATTCGAGAAATGGTTTACTTGAAAGTTGTTTAGGGTTGATCAAAGAAGTTGCAAGATACCCGATGATCAATGTTGTTTTGTTAGGTGATGGAATGTCAGTGACAAGATGCAAATGTTTCACGTTGGAGGCGGGGAGAGGGTGTTATTTAATGTTGTCGGGCAGGTTCAACCCACCCTCAAGCTCAGCTCATACATCCTTCCTTCAGAGCTACGACCTAACACCAAGTCAATGAGGTGACGTCGACCCCATTGGAAGTCGCACCCGACACAACCCAAGCTTCGTGCAGTGCAGATGCAGGCGCAGGCATCAGGGAGCAAGAAAACTTCCGACCCGAGGGCAAGATGCCAAAAATGACTAGTCCAAGGCCCACTAAATTTATACTAAACTTACCTAAGTATTTTTGTCATCTAAACTAATACTTCTGAAGTTTTCTTACCCCTCTACCCCTGTAGCCTGGAACCCTGAGCTGGTGCACAGGTGACACGGGGAAAGAGCGATCTACTTTCCACATTGTGGAGTCTGTGTGGCATGCAGCCCCCTTGGCGGTGATTTATGATTCGCCTACATGATCTTACCGGAAGGGACTTGTGGGGCGCAAGGCTTGGAGGTGCCGCTAGGCTCCTGCATGAGAAAGAGCTCTTGATTTCGTCGCGGGAATACGACCAACGCGATGGGATATGGGACGAGGCATTATCAAATCAGGAAATGACAATCACAAGCCATTTGAGGGTTTAACCTGAACTCTAACGATGGAGGGTTCGTCAGTGTCGATATTTGCTTTCTGAATTGAACTATGGGAATAAGACACGTTTGCTCAAATCCATGATATGGCCAAGACTTTTGGTAAGCTCTCGGCTTTGGTGAACCCGGTAACGATGTGCGTTGGCCAAGCATTACTCGAATGACATATACGGTAATGACTTTTGTTTCTGCCTCACAGGGCGATGTCTTCTCACGTCAATGTTGTTGAACCGTGGTCCATTCTCGGAGATAGCTTCAACAAGACGAGAGACTAGCCCCAGGACCAGAGGCAAATAGTGCAGATCCCTGAATCTACTCCGCCTCTTTGAGGATAAACGGCCACGATAGTTTGGCTAACACTTGTCATTACGCCCGATTGTTGTTGGTTTCCATGACCACTGGACTCTTTCACCCACGGAGACTCGGCAGAGCTACTGACCGACCCTGACCAATCATATCATGAGCGCAAGTCCAGAAGAGGATAACTCGAGCGCTGTTGGACGTGTAATGTCATTGGGTGAGGGACGTGTGATCAGTTGCACTGCCTCTTGGAATTGTTCAAGTCAATGTCCATCCACTTGTCACTGTTGGTCACCCTTCGGCTTGGCGATGCCGGGATGGTATTTGCTGTATCTGGAAATGGCCGGAAGCAAGAAGCCGTAGCTTTAGCTTTTGGATGGGGATAACATTCTAGAATGATTCCCGGCGCTAACATCTCATGTTGTCGACATCCAATATCTCCAGGTGTCGCCCAACAGTGCCTTGATCATTTGCCACTCGAGATATCCCTCGTGTAAGTCGGGCAAGCCTGATGGCTAGGTATGGACACTTTCATGATGAGTCGATGTATTCCAAGACTAAGCTTTGGTCTTCTCAGCCCTAACCCTTCTGATGGTTCTCCTAAAGCTTATGGTGATATGCTCATAAATTACCAAGGATATTGTCCTTGGCTAATTTCACCTCTTACTGCGCACCGTCTACCTGGCGCTTGGGTAAGATCTAGGTCTTCAATTGCTGGCCCTCAACTGTTGGCCCTAGACAACTGAGCCTCAAAACAAGCTCAACTCCACAAGGCAGACCGCTAATCTCTGTCACCATCTCATCACCTGATAATCAAGGATATCTTTTGGTACAACTGTTAAGCTCATTGCTCAGCCTCGACACAGCCCCGGAATGTAAATTGCTTAGTTTGATCCTTTACCGGGTCCGGCTCCGAAGATCTCGGCCCCGTTTTTGATGCCTGGCCGATCACACACTCCGAACCCCGGCCGTAGGATCGCCGCATGACGAAAATGTCATGAAGATTCCCCAGATAAACAATATGCAGGAATGAAGAGATCCACTGTTAATTTTCTGGAAAATTGTTGTTCTTTGAGATTACCCCTTTCTGTTTGCATAGCCACTTCTAGACTGTGAAGGATGGTTGTTGGCTTTGAGGAAGAGTCATGTCAGCAGAAGAAGTTTCAAATCAATATTGGATAGCAAGGCTCAGTCTTCATAGCCATTGACGGTGTTGGTTTCGGTAATGACCGATATGATGATATGAGTTTGCCCCCAGAAGTTGCGGGCCATGATACAGGGTAATCTTCCAACCTGGTGTAAATACATGGAGACTAGGTCAATGGCTTTGGCATTGAATCAATTGGCAATAGAGTGAGACACTCTGGCAAAAATAGCTGTCCTTTTATTGATTCACAGACCCTGAGTTCTTGTTGCATCGTGAACTGAACATACCAGATGAGCTGATGTGACACTGGTCAAGCTAACAAACTCACTCACAGCCACGCACAATCTGACACTAGCAATCCATTCTCCAAGTACGAACCCAACAATAAAAGCCATTCAATACTGAGCCACGTCTACTATTCTTTCGATTAAAACTGCTGATCAGAAATCTGTTTCACAGACTCGCGAAAGAGCTGGGCAAGGATTGAGGAACGCTGTTACAGCCACGCTCTGCAACAAAAGCACAACCTATCCCCTGTGGCTTAGTTGGCTAAAGCGTCCGACTGTTATTAAATAGACAATCGGGAGATCGGAAGTTCGAGCCTTCCCGGGGGAGTTCTCTTTTGCTAATTCCATATATTTTTTATGTTGAGAATGCCAATTGATTGCTGTCTTTTTGGGTCTATGGAGCTTGAGTTGCCGTTGAGTTGACGTTGGAGGTCAATTGACTCTATGGTTTATGACATTTAATGGCTGGCGGAAGGCTGGCCCGGGCCTTTGAACAACAGAGCTGTTCTCGCTCAGACCTGAGACAACTGTTGCATGATATGTTGGAGAACTTTGACTTGCATCTTTGCATTTCAACCGTACCAAATGTCGAACGGACACTTTTTGCTTCTGTCGTCTGGCATTGTCCAACCTATGGATTGTAGAGTCCCCTCTGAGCTAACATCACCAAAACTGGACTGGATGATGTTACATCTGCCTCTGTTCGTTTCACCACTGTTTCTCCACAAACTCTACTCAACTCGTAGTCAAGTATCCTCTCCAACTCTCCAACTCTCAATTTATGACACCTTGCGTCTCAACTGTCGCGAAACTGCTACCCTCGCCAACATAGTACCCAATGCCGTGGCGGCATTCATCAAATCAGCTCATCCCCTGTGGCTTAGTTGGCTAAAGCGTCCGACTGTTACTTGCAGACAATCGGGAGATCGGAAGTTCGAGCCTTCCCGGGGGAGATACGCTCCTCAAGATCATCTTTTTGGTGTTGTGGGTAATTTTTGTGCTGGAGAAGACACTACGCCCCACTAGGGCTCACATATGGGCTGGGATCTTGAAACAGGCCGTAATGGCATCGATGAGTGATGGGACTTTGTGAAGATATGAGCGATCATGTGAACCTTGTGAGCCAGTGTTGTTGTTGGAAGCTTCGATGACCTGAGACGACTTGGCTGATGGTAGGAATGTAAGATGCACTGATAATCTTTGCACCATGTTCAGCCATGGAAACTCTTCACGTAAGTAGTAGCAAACCGTCGAAACTTTGGTGCATGCCGAACAATCTATTAATATCATAAATTCCTCTTTGTCCCTGTATCGAACATGCTGGTGCAACTCAGGGACGGCAGCATGCCACTCATTGAGGTTGCGGCGACCTTCGCCTTACCCACAATCTAACAGACCTCCACGGTTGCGCTGAAGCAACTCCCTTGACTACCGAAGGCGATGGCCATCTTTCACTCCCCGCGGGTTCGAGTTCGTAAAGGCTGATAAACACTGAGATATACATGATCACCTTTCTCAACGTAAACTCCGAATCGTCACACATCGTCAATGTTCCGTCTAGAAATGTTAGTTAGTCCTCGACTGCCATGTAAGAGGATAAACATACCTGATGCTCGGACTGTGTATGGTTCAGCTCTCTGAGTCTTGACACCCTTCTTGTCCACTGTATCTTCGAGGTATCGTCCAACTTGCCAGACCTTGGCATCTGTGAAGCTTCTGGGATCAGAGTGATGCAGATCGTTCACAACGTGTGCGAACGTTCCCTTCTTCAGAACAAAGCTGTCTTCCTTGTCTTTGAGAATCACATCCTCCTTCAGATACCGCGCTGACCATCCTCCACCGTATAACCTCAATGTCTCAAGGTATACTCCATGAAGCAGAGGGCATTTAGTAACAAGACCGTCCAGGTCAAGTTTCTGAACCTGAGGAGGAATCCAGACGGCGCCACCGAAATCGTTTTTAGGCTGGACGATCCTGACGAATGGGGTGATTTGTTCGCGGATTTGAGATAGAAGAACAGGGTCTTGGTACAATTCGAATAGAGACCATGAGATGAGTGACGTAGAGTTAACAGTAGTCGCCCAAAGAAGAGCAACATCAAATGCAGCGCGGACATCGATTGGCAGACCGTGTTTTCGGTAGACTTCGGTCCTGGCGCGTACAAGAGGGCTGATGGTGTGAAAATCCTGCCATTTCGTAGCCGGTTCTTCATCGCTGAGAAACTTGTCCAACTCGGTGTGATACTCCCGCATGAATGTGAGTAGTCTTCCAAGAGCGATTCTGGCGCGCTGAGAGCTTGGGAAAGGCGCCCATACGGGAACACCCATTGCCAGCGAGTGGAAAGCATCGTTGAAGATCCACAGATGAGGCCAGATATCGGGATAGATCTCAATGAAGTCTGTGCCGAAGACTGAGATGGTGGCTGTTCTGGCGATGAAGGTCTTCATTAGTTCAAAGAAGTCCACAGCCATGATCTTTTCGTCTCCAGTGTCCTCCAAAAGTTCTGCATTTGCTTGACGTTCCCAGTCCATCTGATCAGTGGGATAGCTGTTGAAGGAGATTGCATCAGCAGCATTGTCGTCAAGATCTCGAAGCGTAGCCTTGGCCAGGGTATCAAGATGAGAACCGCTCAGATACTCCTTGGTGATTTGATATACCTCAGGAGCAGCTTTATCATAAGCAGCAAGATCCTTCTTCGAGAGGCCAAAATTGGTCATCATAACCCGTCGTGCAACATACTCCTTATCGGCGACAGATTCCGGCTGCTCAAGAAGACGAGCCACAAGCGAAGGTCGAAAGACAAAAGAGTGAATGCTCTGGAATAAGCGGATTGAAAAGACACCCTGGGCATATCGATTTCTGAAGCGCGTCAAAGCTGACGAAGGACTGAGGAAAATACGCGGAGCATGGCCGAACAACGGTACCCAAAAGGGTGCAAGAGGAGGCGTTTTTGATCCATCCTTTCTAGAAGAAGATGAACTGCCTGTAAAGAGTCTTGTTGTGATGAAGAGGATCATGGTTGTGACGAGGATAGCTGGTAGGGGATATCGTTGGGCGTGGGGGATGAGAGTCTCATTGAGGCGCTCACGAAGAGCCTCGAGACGGTCCATATTGAGATGGGATCAGTAAATACTGAAGTGGTTCAACATGAATGATGAAGGAAATAGAGTTTGGCAAAGTTGAGGCGATACGTGGTTTTGCTGCTGAAGATGCAAACTTGAGAGCTCTTGTATGGATCAGACCCGCCCGTGCTGACAGGCGTTGCTCAGCCGTAAGTTGTAGGGGCTGTGCACTGTAGTCAGAGTGTTACAGTGGTTGATGCACCACATCAGGACTTTCAATGCAATGAACTAAATGCTCAAAGAAACTCCGTCTAATATTATCTCTTTGACCGGCACAAGCCTCCAAACCGGTAACAATAGGGGTATAAGGCCAATCAAAATCAGCAAATCTGCTGATACAAGCCAACTTGTACTTTCTTTGCTTTAGAGGGCTTTTGACCAATCAAGATAGTTAAATTGCAAGCCTATACCATAAGAGAGGTAGACCAGTTACAAAGGAAGACAGCCTCTTTAACTATAATAATAGGGAGGATTTTGTAGCCTTCTTGTACGTGGGGTCAAGTGGGTCAAGTGACCTGTTGGAGGCTTGTGCCGGTCAAAGAGATAGTTCTCTATATAAGTTCGATTGTTATTAATCTTTTTGCTTTTGTCCAGACGTCTCTCTTATGAACTCAGTGCTATTGACTGAACTTATACTGTCACATCAGACATATAAGCAGAGAGCCATGGAACCTCCAGGATACAAGCCAATGCAAGAGAGCAGGTAGGCAGACAGGCAGAAGCATCATTTGGCACACTAGCAAGCAATTGACATATTTGTGAGACTATTTCATGGGCCGGCCTTCACAACTGCTGTCCACCAGGTGGATATCGATGTGTCACAGCTCAAAAATTCAGCATAATATCACGCTGTACGGGAACAAGTTCTCCAACAATTAGATCTGGTTTCGTGGTCTAACGGTTATGACTGCGGATTCTGATTCCGCCAGCGAGGGTTCGACTCCCTCCGAGACCTTTCCTTTTGCTGTTTTAGATTATCATTTTTGTCGTTGGTGTTGTTGATATCTCATAACTCGAGAATGACGAAGTGCGAACTTCATGCGATGCGTGGTTGGGGATACCTTAGGCTGTATTGTCGAGGCGTCCAGTATCTTGATCTAGCGTTAAAGGTGGGATTGAGTTGTGCACCGGGAGACGACATCCTGGTATAATGGTTTTGCTACACTCTAAAAGCCACAAGTTTGCGACTTGAAAAGAAGAAATACCCTTCGTCATGGTAAGGTTATGGAACAAGATTTTCAGACTTCCGATGAAGCTCAGCAGCCTTTACTTATAGAGACAGAGTTCATGACGGGAAAAAGCGTATATCCAGTTTTTTTCTGATAGCTACATTTACGAAAACGTTTCGTTATAGCAATCACGTACTTCAGGCTTGACTAGAGGGGTATATATGTAATGGAATGGTTCGAGTTGGGGGTTGGCGACGTTTGTCCTGGATATTGCGCGATGTTCATATCCATCACAAGATTTCGGAAGCTGAACTGTAAGTCAAACGTTACTTGGCCGTTTATACCGAGAAACAACTCAATTCCACTCGAAAAGTGACCTCTAAATACAATTTAATATTCAAAAGACATCTACTAAATAATTGCATATAATTCTCTGTCTTACAAGTCCATTCCCATTCCTGGCCATCATTGGGTCGGCGCTCCGATGATTGGCTGCCTCAGGCCCCAACCGGTTGCATCATCCATCTGAATCTGGCAACTTACTCTTAGGTGAGCTCCAGCAAGTGCTTAGAACAAAAAATCTCTCCCCCTTTTAATAAATGGAACGAACCCCTCTTTGGCCAAGGTAAAGTAGGTAGCTACCGGATCGCAGCCAAGGTCCCTGGCAGCTCCGGTACCTTGTTGTCTCGTGCCTCTTGTCGACGCGCTATCCCGCTACCCCCGCCATAAACTACCAGTCACATCCCATGATGAGCTCGATTTGAGCCGAATAGTCACTATGATACCTCAATTACTCTTGCGGTCGTCGAGGACATGTCCTCAGAGAAGTCTGGCACTTTATCGACTGTCGTCAGTGTCTCAGCGACCGGGTTTGACGCAGACATTCTGGACATGTGCCCCGCGTCGCGAACGAGCACCCACAGATTCGAAAACCAAAACCACAGCCACGACGAAACCCACGGCCGTGTTTCCTGCGCAGAAACAACCGACGAAACAAAATGATCCTCTTGCGACGGTTGATAAATCTGCGACTGAGCAGCGTAAGGCCGATTGGGCTATCATGAAAGAGATGACTAGGTATCTGTGGCCCAAGGATGACTGGGGTACAAAGCTGCGAGTCGGTCTTGCTGTGTCCTTGTTGATTGGCGCAAAGGTTCTCAATGTGCAAGTGCCATTCTACTTTAAAAGCATTGTGGATTCAATGAACATCGATATTGCTGCTGTGGGAGGTACTGCGACGACAGTTGCGGGAGCTATGATCCTTGCATACGGCGCGTCTCGTATAGGCGCAACGGTATTCCAGGAATTGCGAAACGCCGTGTTTGCGTCTGTTGCACAGAACGCTATCCGAAGGGTGGCATGTAATGTATTCGATCATCTGCTGCGTCTCGACTTGACGTTCCATCTGTCTAAACAGACTGGTGGTTTAACAAGGGCTCTAGATCGTGGTACAAAGGGAATCAGCTTCATTCTGTCCAGTATGGTCTTCCATATCATGCCGACCGCACTGGAGATCAGCATGGTTTGCGGAATTCTCACTTACAACTATGGCGCAAAGTTCGCTGCTCTCACTGTTTTGACAATGGTTAGCTACACGGCTTTCACCATCTGGACGACAGCTTGGCGTACGAAATTCCGAAGACAGGCGAATGCCGCTGATAACAAGGCTTCCACTGTGGCAGTGGACTCGCTCATCAACTATGAGGCTGTCAAGTACTTCAACAATGAGAAGTTTGAGGTTGCGCGGTATGACAAGGCTCTTCAGCAGTACGAGAAGAACTCCATCAAGGTTGCGACATCTCTGGCTTTCCTGAACAGTGGACAGAACATCATCTTCTCGTCGGCACTTACAGGTATGATGTACCTCGCCGCCAATGGTGTAGCTGAGGGTACTTTGACCGTTGGTGACTTGGTCATGGTGAACCAGCTTGTCTTCCAGCTTTCCGTTCCTCTCAACTTCCTCGGATCCGTCTACCGTGAGCTTCGACAGTCTCTCCTGGATATGGAGACCCTCTTCAACCTTCAAAAGGTCAATGCCAACATCAAGGAGAAGCCTGATGCGAAGCCCCTGGTCCTTTCAAAGGGTGGTGAGATCAAGTTCGAGAATGTCGACTTTGCTTACCACCCTAACCGACCGATCCTGCGAAACTTGTCATTGACCATCCCTGCTGGAAAGAAGATCGCAGTTGTTGGCCCCAGCGGTTGCGGAAAGTCCACTCTTCTGCGTCTTTTGTTCCGATCTTATGATGTTCAGGGTGGCCGAATCTTGATTGATGACCAAGATGTTCGAGATGTGAATCTCGAGTCTCTTCGCCGCTCTATTGGTGTTGTTCCTCAGGATACCCCCTTGTTCAACGACACCGTCGAGCACAACATCCGCTATGGCTCCATCAACGCGACGCACGATGAGGTTGTTGCCGTTGCCAAGCGCGCTCACGTCCACAACACCATCCAGTCATTCCCCGAAGGATACGATACCAAGGTTGGTGAGCGAGGTCTCATGATCTCCGGCGGAGAGAAGCAGCGTCTTGCTGTTAGTCGACTGCTCCTCAAGGATCCACCTCTGCTCTTCTTCGATGAGGCAACAAGTGCCCTGGATACCCATACCGAGCAGGCTCTCATGATGAACATCAACAGTATCCTTAGAGAAAAGGGTCGAACAAGTGTTTTCGTAGCTCATCGTCTCCGAACAATCTTTGATTCGGATCTTATCATTGTCCTCAAGGAGGGACAAGTAGCGGAGATGGGCACTCATCGGGAGTTGATCGATCGTGATGGTGTTTACGCCGAGTTGTGGAGTGGTAAGTTGGAATGGGTTCGAGAGATTCGTTTGCTAACAATGTTGCAGCCCAGGAGACGAGATTCCAGGAGGATGGAAATGAGAAGGATGAAGCCGAGGAGGAGACTGATGGCCAGAAGAAGAACTAAACATATAATGCCCCTAGAAGGCACATGCCTTGATCAGCTGCTGACAAGGTGTAAGATGAATACAGCTCAAGCTTACCGCAAAGAACCACTGACTTGATGTAAATGATATGATCTACTGAGAGAGTCATGCTCTGTCGGATTTGGGCATGGGATGATGAGTAGTTACCGACTCCATTGATAGCGGGAAGGGTAGCCTCGAAGTATAACCGACTTGCCGCCGCTTGGAATAAATCCCCTTGGATGACGTCCATGTCGAGAGGGTTCCAGTGCTCAGCGCAAGCTCGTCAATGAGCGGGTCAAGAAGGGCCACATCCAAGCTCGAGCTTGTCCCAGCCTTCACCCGTCTCGCCTGGCTGTTGGCGACCGCCTTTACACCAAACCAAGACTACCAAACTCCGAGCCGCTCTATGTACACTCCACGCTGTCTTTGCTGGACCCTCCCCAGGCCACTACGTCGGTGCCGTAGGCCTGGGCGGCTGCGAAGATGAGGACTATATCTTTCTGTTCGTTCGTTGTCAACTTCGAGTGTGAGGTAACCCGCCGCTGGTCCTGTTGGGCTTTGAAGAGGAATAAGACCACTTGACAACATCGCAACCTCTCGGAGGACAATGCTTTGGTCCCAACTCTTCGTGAGACGGTTTTGCAGTAAAACAGGATTCGTATCGTGGGGACGGAATTCTTTGGTCCGTTTTTACTGAGCCTCGTGGGCGTAAAATCTCTCGCTCGTAAGCTCGTTTTGACTTGCTGGACTTCGACGGTGTCGGGAAGGGAGGGGGTTGAGTCGGACTCGTGGATGCTGGTTCGGTGTTCGGATCGATGGTGGGTTGAAGGTTCTGTTGTGATGCAAGTTAACTCAGTAACCACCACGGGGTTTTGCATCAGGATATAAGGTAACTCAAGTGTGTTGAAACAAGCGGAGGATCATTGCTGCCAAGTTTCGAAGGGGCGCATGCACTACAATGGAACAGAATTGGGCAAAGCTACTCGCCCAGAAGATACGAGCCAGACATTGGAGTTTAAGTTTTCTTCTGTCCAAAAAGGGGTTTGTTGATCAAAGACGGTCGGAGAGTAAGTGGCCGTTGGTTATGCTCGAGTGTTGGTAACCGAAAACCTGTAGTCTGCGTGCGATTATTGCCGCAAAGCCCCAGCATGAGCTGCTGTACAATGTACTCTGTGGTGAGCCAATGTCCCTTCACACTCAATCTAAATTGTCGGGGAGGAATGGCTAATCTGGTATATCTGGTGGAAGCGGGATGCAGCTTCGTCGTGAAAGTAGTTATGATTTCATGACTATCTCTTCGTCAGCATTGCTTGCGTGCGCGACAGTGTGATGACGGAGCTTGACTTAAAAAGGCAAATAAATCAATACATGGAAACAAGGCCCCCCTGTGAAGCTGATCTGTAGGCTTATGGCCAGTAAAAGCGACACAGACGAGTGTAACAACTCAGCTGGTCCTTGGACCCGAGTGTTGACGCCCTCTAAAACTCGATTCTATAAGCATACCATTCGTGTTGTAGAGCGCTCTTGCTCATTCGTAACTGAATACCAATCATTGTCGAGTATCGCAGAACAAGACACGGTCAAGCCACGCCCGGGGGAGGTTGGCGGAGACGACACTTGCTCGACCCTTGAGCGTATGAATCTTAGCCTAATGTCCCGTACATGGCTGATCGAGTTCAACTTGCCATATTTCACCGAAATAGACCGGCTTCGGGTGGACAGAGCGGAGCCCCTGAAGTTTCGACAAGCACCTGGAAAAGGTCCAGCGGTAGACACAAAGGTCTTCGGGTCCAGCAGCGGTTGCGCGGTACGACTTGACGATGCGAATGCCTTCAAATGAGTCAAGAGTCATTAGCTTTGTCACAGAATGCCTGTCGACGAAGCGAATCCGATATGTGCTTTACTTACAACCCTGCTTTCCTGCGGTTGCTCACTTCATGCATGGCCCACCGTGACTTGCAATATCAAATTCTTGAGCCAAATATGTAGATTATGCAGAAACTCTGCTGAACTAGATGTGTTGTTTTTAGGCGGCCTTTACGCCGGTAGAGTCGCGATAATGCTCTGATCTGAGCTAGCTGTGGCGAAGAGCTCAAAACGCCTGCGAAGGTCTTGCCAGTCCCCATTGTATTGTTGTAACCCTGAGACTAGATCCCTGACATATCGTTTCTGAGATAACTTCCGGGAAGGTGGTCGGAGCGACATGAATATTGGTTCTCGTCGTAGATTGTGAAAAGGGGCTCCGGCGCTGGACACAGAGGGGTGCACAATCGGTTCTTTCTGTAGCTTCCTTTGGAGTATAACGTTCGAGACTCATCTTGCGACTAACTATTAGTGGGAATCACATTGTATGGCCTTTATACTCACAAGAGGCCGTTTCGTTCTCTCTCTCCTCCGTAGTGTTGATGTCAGTTCAGCTCCATTTGTATTCGCAAAGCTCAGCTGGGACAGTTTCCTGCCCATTGTACTAAGTCACTGGCCGAAGCAAAGTTTGAGTCTAGTTCCGATCCATTTTCAAGCCATGTAGTGACTAAGGAAGCTTCCAAAAGTGTTCAAGATCAACGTCAGGATACATCCACCTCTAGAGTGGTCTCGCAATGTGAGGGTTCATTTTGAGCTCGAGACAAGTCTTCGCCTTTAACTTGAGTTTAAAGCAATATTATTTCGGGAAGCCCATTTTAGACCCAATTCGGCCCCTGGGCTGTTGTATTAGGCGTAAAAATACTGTGTCGTATCCTGAACAGGCCAGTGGTCCTCCTGCTGAAGAACGTTCGTCACTGGGCCACTATTTTGGACATGGGATTAGGGTCAGGGCTTAGTGTTGTAAATATTGGTCGCCTCCCTGAGACTCAGTCAAAGTGGCACTCAAGATGAACTGATCATTGTTGAACGGTGTTTGACCTTACAATATGCTGTTTAACACTGCGCTCCTCGGTGCTCAGGCCCCGGGCTTCCGCTCGAGTGGAGGGTTGGCAGCAAGCAGTCGATGTTCACATCTTGTGGAAGATGCCCGTATCCTGGAGCTGGACAGACTCACTAAATGAAACCATGAGCTTCTTGTGGGCTGGTGAAGGCGGCGCTCTTCTGGCTACAGGGCATTGGTTGAGGATCTTGTGTAGTGTAGCTCAAGCGGGACGAGACGCAGGTCGTGAAGAATTGATGTTCAGCATTGGGTCAAAAAGAGATGGCGACAGGCTTAAGTGTCAAATCAGTGGTAGATCCATAGAAATGTGCTTCTTCTCGTGGTGATAGGATCATGAAGGGGCCACTGTTCTCGACGCGATACTAATTAGTATTATGTTCCTTGTGGTAAAATATCACCGATAACTACAAAGCTGCCATTCTCAGTCTACCGTTTGTAGAGCTGCTGGGTATTATTGACCGCGAGTGTGTCTTCTGCGCATGCGTAGGTTACTGACCTCTGGACGGTGGCATCTCTCAGCCTCTTCTGTAGCTCAGGGAAGACACCGCCGTTTCGATTAACGTACTTTCCGATGGCAGCTCATTGGTTTCTACTCATGTGTCAGTCAAAGAAGCTCTCAAAGTCTTCGTGTGGTTGTGATGAGTGTCGTACCCTGACACGCCCCAGAACAAGTCAGTGGCCAGGGCGCCGCGCCGCGTAACGCTCCCCCGTGACTCGTAGAATTCTGGCTTGAAGATGATCCCATGGCGAGTGTACTGTCACAATAGTGGTTTCTTTCAGTGGCGGTTTGGGACGGCGCTTGGCATTCGAGGATTGGACTGCGAAGCTGAATACTGGAAAACACGAGCAGCTGAGAGTGAGGAGGATATTGGAGAGGGCAACTGGTACTTCGATGACAAATAAAAGAGAAACGAGTAAATCAGAGAAGTCTAGATCTCAAATGAGATGTAGCATGGGAAATTTTGGTGACTTTCGTTGTTGATGTTCATTGTTGTTGGAGTTGGTCTGTGATGGTGAACATAAAATTGAATCTCAGCGAAGGTTCAACTGCACGACCATGGGTCTTTGAGCCACGACCCTGAACAACGGTGATATTCCACTTTGCACCAGCCGCTACAGTGCCCATTTGACATTTACACAGCAAAAGGAAAGCAAGAATCTCTATTCCACTTTACAGAATGTCCTTCAAAGGCTGTGTCTGATTCAATACGATATTTCGCAAATGGTGCAGGGTAGCCCTCTTTCACTTCGAACCTCGAACCTCGCGTCTGCCTGCGTCCGAGCAACGCACACATGATTACAGAACTGGTAAAATTGCAAAAGTCGAACCAAGACATGTAATTCTATTATGTCTAATACCACTGAAATAGAGGAGGACCTCTTGAAATATTGGAATCGGGTGAATGGAACTCGTCAATCTGCAATTTATTAATTGACCCCTCACATGGAAGCGGTGGACGTTAGAACTCGGACACAGGGATCGACAGCAGCCGATGAGACATAAGCTTGACCATAGCCATAACACATCGCTCTCACAATGTTTATGATGCATGGGCTACTTGGTTGAAGGCGGTATAAGTGGAATATTCAGTTTCTACCATTGCCCTCATCTTCTCCCAGCGCCGCCAAGCCCCCAATCTGCTTGTACACAGTAGTGTGCAGATTTTATATGCAGCCCACTTAGATCATCCATGCAACCTCACATAAAGAACACCTCACCTCACACTCACCACATCATCGCCCTCACAAACGCACCATGAAGATCCTCCTCCACTCTCACTTCCCAGCCGGCCATGCCTACCCAATGCAAGCCGTAGCCCAATCCCTCATCCGCCGCGGCCACCAAGTAACCTGGCTCACCAGCACCTCAAACGAAGCGCGCGTCCTCGCCGTAGGCGCAACATTCGTCCCAACAAGCGCCATAGCCATCATCGACGAACCCCTAATCGCTGCCAATGAAACTGGTATTCTCGACAAGGAGTATTCGCAGCTTCAGATCAGGCTTCTTGCGCAGGTGACGGATTACCGCCGGGTGTTGAGGGACTTTAAAGCAGATGTTCTGCTCGTCGATGTGATGCCGTATGGAGCGAGGGCTTTGTGTGAACTGGGTGAAGTTCCGGTTTATGCGACGCTGGGGGTAATTCCGATGTATATGTCGAGTTGGGGAGCGCCGCAGGCTGTTTCGGGGGAGAGTCCGGCGACGTCGTGGGTTGGATTGATCTGGAATCATATTCTTCATCTTGTTAGCCAGTGGTTTCTTCTGCCGTTGCTTTTGAGGCCGATCATAAATGCCCAAAGGAGAGAATTGGGCTTGAAGAACTTGCCGTATGGGGAGCCGATCGAGTCTTTCACTTACAGCCCCTATCTTCACATTCAGGCGTCATCGCCGTCGCTGGAGTTCAAGCTACTGCCAAAGCCGCCGCAGCAGCGGGAGCATACTAAGTTTGTGGGACCGGTAGTTACGCAAGTACCGACAAGTCTCGCCCAGCTACCCTCTGAATGGGACGAGATCGTTGCGCATCCCCGTGTTGTCGGCATTACCCAAGGCACACTAGCCATGGATCCAACATCATTGATCATTCCCGCCATCGAGGCGCTCTCCGATGATCCAGATCTCCTCCTTGTAGTGGCTTCACCGCATGTAGAAGAGATCACATCGAGAATAGGGGAGCCGCCAAATGTGCGCTTCATCAGATGGATACCGTACCATCTCTTCCTCCCACAGCTCTGCCTCCTCATCACCAACGGCGGTTATGGAAGCATAACTCAGGCGCTGTCGCATAAAGTGCCACTGATCTGCGCTGGGCAAACAGAAGATAAGAAGGACACAGCGGCGCGGGTTAGTTGGGCGAGTGCAGGCATCGATTTGAAGACAGATAACCCTTCGACGGAACAGGTTCGAAGAGCGGCGAGGACAATACTGGACGATCCAGGGTTTGTGGAGAGGGCGGGGCATCTGGGCGACGAACTCAATGAACTTGGGGGCGCAGAACGAGCTTCAGAGCTTTTGGAAGAACTGGTAGAATCTAGAGACAGATGAACATCAGCAGTTGTCAACTTGGGTGGAAATAATGCCGAGTGGCAGATGGATAGACTTGGGCAAAAGCGGCACGAAAGAAACACGATCACGAGCACACCAAAAGATTTAGAACGAGATTCGATTCATTGCTAGAGCCTAATAATCCACCAGTCCGGTTCCATAAATCCGGCGTCGATGATGATGATAATAACATCCTTTTTTTGTTACAGGTAATATGTCCTGTGATTCAGATTCTGGAGAGGGTCAGTAAATGATGATAACTTGAAACGACATACTCCAAGCTTCGAGGTGACTTACCGCAAACATTTCAAAAATGGCTCGTAGAGATCGTACTCGAGATACCGGCTTGGGTAATGGTGCTTAGAAGTCCCAAACGTCTTCGCGCCAAGGCCACGCGAAGGCCAGGGGCCAGCGACGGACAACCATGGGCCATCCGTAGGCTCGGAAGATCAGAATGAAGATGAGGAGAACAATCCATTCCTGGATGTTGAGCCGGAGAGTAGCGCCATTGGGCAGGGGAATGTTAATGACGATGACCATGATGGGCAGTTCTTGGAATCAACGGAGACTTGAAGAACGTCTTGCGGTAGACAAAGAAGCAGTGCAGAATGAAGAGAGGAAAGCTTGAGAGAACTGAGCAGGAATGACGAGGTCAGTGTTTACTGTTCAGTGTGTTCAGGGGAAGAAGAACATAAAAGCACATACCAGAACAAATGTTCAAATGAAAGCTTTTGTTGAAAAAGTGTGGTCGGAACACGAAAATGAACAACGTGAAAGTGTTGTGCGGTGGTTGTGTTGGAGGTAGAAAAGAGCAGGAGGGGAAGAAATGGGAGTGTTGCCTTGGCCTTAGTGGGAGGAGCGGGAGTGCGAAGGCGGGCGCCGTCTGAAGGGCCAGTGCGAGAGATGGCGGTACGTGACATACAGTACAGATGACCTCGAAGTGCGAAGAGAGTCGACTGATGGCAATTACGACTTGGCGAGACGATTCGACTACGAATATATTGTGTTTTTCGATATCACGGACGAGCTATGACGATCCTGCACTCGAGTGCATCCTCCGATACGATCCCCAGGACAAATACTGGATGAAGCGAGACGATTCTACCCTCAAGTAGCATGCAATATCCATGAGAGAGTCCTCAACATGATGTATCCTTCGTATCCCAACTTGTATCCGCTGTGTGGTGGTTTGGCGCCGATGTGACTGTCAAGCTGCAACGATCTCGCATCCGAGTGATTGCCTCAACAAGATCCCCAAGCCCAACACAAGATGAAGCAAGGCGATTTCGTCCTCATGTAGCATGCAACAGCCATAAGACCATCGTCCCCGTAATAAATATCTTGCATCTCATCCTGCGCCATCCCTGTGGTGGTTTTGCTACGATGCCACTGGCGAACCACGATTCGAGCGAGCCACCAAGCAAAACAAAAGATGAAGAGAGGCGACTAGATCCTCCAAGAGTGTACAGTATCCTTGATATCACCCTCAATCCAAGTAATACTTCGCGTTCGGTCCTGAGGCCTCCCTGTATGTTGTTTTGCTACGATGTCACTGGCGAGCCACGATGCGGGCCAGTCACCAGGGAAAACACGAAGACATTCACGAGATATAAAGATGTGAATGCGCAGATAATGTGACCAAGCAGTCTGTAGTCAATGCCAGGATATTCATGAGTGAAATGATCATCTGGAGAGGCGTATCGGCGTCACTCGAGCAACTGCGCGAGACGTCGAGCCCAACGACCAAAACAATATATCGCGATACCTCACACGCTTCCCAAGAGCGTAGTAAGCCCCTTAATCTCATCGTACATTCAAACCACGCACGCAATGTTCCCCTCTACGCGTAAATCAAAACATGTAACCAAGACAAAGTACAAAATTAAACAACAACATCATATCATACATCAGTCATAGTCAAAGCAAGTTTTCTTCTTCGAGCCACAGCACAAGGCCATGAACTCAATGAAAAAAATGGTGGGTGCCCCGTCGGGCGAAAGCAAAAATTATTCCAGGCTGATCGAGCAGCATTGGTGGGCGATCACCAAGGCCATAAGACCCGATGATTCCCAGCCCTCAGGCTTCATGATCCCCGAGAGCCACTGGATGTTTGGCAGTCCATGTTTATGGGCGCAAGCACCCATAAACATGGCATGAAAGGAAGAGAAAAGAAAAAAGGTCAGTCACTGGGAGAAGAGCGAGCTTATATGCACAGGGGAGCCCGGGCGGTGAGGGGCGAGTGATCTGGGAGGCGGCAGTATCCCAGCAGCAGATCCTCCGGGATAGTGGAGACGCAGACATCTGACAGCTGGTGACGTGCAGCAAAGTGCTCCGCCCAAAGCGGGAGCAGGGGACCGTTGGGTAGTGGCGTGGGGCGGTTGGACGTTATATCAACGACGAGGCCGGACACTCAGCTGTGATCTTGCGACCACGCACGATAGGAAAAATGGTGCACCATTTTTGCGAAGATGGGGAACTTTTTAGCTTCCGAGAGATATTTTTGGAGGTATTTTTAATTGTTGTTGTGGTTGCCCTGAGTATTTTCGAGGGTGCGTTTTGAGCCTCATCCGCGTCCACAGGGGTTTTCGAGGAGTGGGCATGCGTCATCGCGCCGTAGCTACACCACAGAAATAGAATGGCGAGGAAATCACTGGCACTGAATTGTGAGATATTGTATACAGCATAAATGCAAAAATGGACGAGTAATTGCAATGTGCATGCATTGTGGATGGTATTGACTACGGATCTACGATATGGAATTACATCAAGTACAATTGTGATGAATGCACAGAACACACATCGAAGCGTTAAAATGAATCAAGGAAGACCGCACAATAATTACAAGATGCATGGACCCGAGATGGTTGAGCACTCGCAGAGTGGCTTGGTCGCTTCAGGAGAACCAAGCTTGGGGAGGCAAAAAGTCTAAACTCAGGACGTTTGTATGCTAAGCAACAACGAAACTTAGGTTAATTCAGTGCAACCAAGGAGGTATCTAGAATATCTTGCTTAAGTTCAGCTTGGAGCCGTTCCAAGTCACGAGCTTCTTGCTCCCCTGGGCTAGCTCGCCGAGACAACTCCCCTCTGCGCAGCTCCACAAGGACGAGGGGAATTAAATCGAGGCGAATGTAAATTATGTGATTGGCTCTAGAGGCTCTTGAGATCTCTGAACCTCTGAAGAGCCCACATCCCAGTGAATCAAGGTCCGCTCTTGAGTTCGGGGCTCGGGGCTCTGGCCCTCGCCTTGCTGCTATTGTCCCAGACAACCTCGAGCTCTCCGCACACAGGATCAGCTGGCTCCACTCTTGCTGGTATTTATTCCATCTCCCGCCCTCTTCATCTCTCTCTTCTTCCTTTCCTCCTCAGCTCCAACACCAACACCTTTATCCTCCTCCATCTCCTCCTCCATCTCCTCCTCCCACACCATCATCATTATCCTCCCTCACTCCTCTACCCTCTCTCTCTTATACATACACCATCTCTCCTCATCACCTGGACACACGACGGCCCTTCGATACACAAGCATCCGTTCGTTGACACTCAATGTGTTCAATGCAGCACTCTGTCCGCGACTTCGTTGGCCTGGTTCTTGGAGTTACTTCCAAGGGCTGGTTCACTGCAGTTCTGCACAGCGTGTTGCCTTGGGCATATTGTGTTGTATTTGGTGGGTGGTGGCGGCCTTTTCACCCCGGCCGCAGCCGGGAGTGCCCCGAGCCATTCGTGGCTCGGTGATGCATGGTAAGTTTCACTTTTCGTCTGGCCATTTCATTTCATCTCTTTACACTTTCTTTATGTTTCTTCTCCTCATCTCTTCGCTTCCCTTCATCTCACCTTATGGTATCTCACACCTGCCCTCAGCCGCCGCCCACCACCAAAACCCCACGATCACCATGGGTCTCATCGCGAAGCTCAAGTTCAAGCTGCGCAAGCGTCTTGCGCAGGGTACTGCCGAGTCAGTCGCCCTCGGGATACTCGGGCTTGTCAGCCTCGAACGAGTGTGCAAGGTATGTTCTTTTGACACGACACTGGTAGCTTGACCCTGACCCTTTGCAGAATATGTCTTTACAGGCAGTGCACTTGCATCTGCTACCGACCAACTTGCTGTCAACATGAACAGCATATCCTTCCAGCAGGCTCCTCGTGGCATTGACCGCGGCCGCAACCAGTCCTTCTTCGCGATGAACGCGCCCCAGGGAACCCCTTTTGCAGCAGCTGGCGCTCTGCACATGCCATTCCCCTCTCAGCTCCACCAGCAGCCCTTCACTGGGCAGCAGTTTGGCCCCCGTCATGACTCCCAACAGTCTCGAACGAGCGTGCAAGGTATGTTGCTCTTCGCTTCGCAGTGTGAATTCAGTTCTGACTATGGACAGATGTTCACTCACACCTGAGTATACGCGCAGAGTAATCAAGATCGCTACGATGCAGGCCGCCGAATATGCATCCAAACGGGCCACGGCCACTATGCACCTCCTCCGTAAGTCCACCCCCCCTCACACGCTTTTCATTTTCTGACTCTTGCGCAGTGCACCTTATTGACCAGGCATGCTTGCCTCGGGCCCTGGTTGCGTTGGAGTCACAGCTCGTCCGATTGTGCGAGATCTGCACTGTATGTCTTGGTATGAACGGGGTTCATATCATTGCATACAGTGTCGAACTTGCACACTCGTTCGAGCTGCGACACCAACGCAACCAGGACTTTGATGGCCTTCGCACACTTGACACACCACACACACTCACTCTCTCTTTATCGCACTCATTGAAATGCCTGGGAGGATTGACTTGACTTGACTTGATTTGGCTTGGACTTGGACTTGGACTTGGACTTAGACAGGATACTTGGATACAATACCACAGCTCAACCAAACACTTGAAACTCATCTTGACTCCTATCCTGACACTCATAAACTCGTGCACTTAGTAAAGTCTAGTCTAAAGGCCTTGTAAATTTGCACTTAACCTAGGATAGAGGTCCTAAGTCTAGGTTTCTTGCCCAATCGAATGCTTGACGCTCATGTTAAAAACTTAGTGACTGCGGAATCTCTGATCATCGCCTCAACAGACAGTACTCCCACTGAAGTATGATTCTCGCTCATTCAACGACTACCAGGTCATCCTCCACGTCAATCAAATCCCCCGCCTGCACCAAAACAGCCACGCATTTTCCGCCGACAGGACTGCGAATCTCAACTTCCATCTTACTCGACTCAATACAAACCAGAACATCTCCCTTTTCTACAACGCTCCCTTCTTTCACCATGACCTTGTAACATCGACCCGGCATCGTCGCCTTCACTCGTTCACCACGAAGATCCGAACTATCCAGACTCGGGCTGTGCCCATTGACAACAGGCTCGACTTGATACGGAAGGACCAATTCATCGACAAAGGGCGCGTTGGAAATGGCACTTGCTTGCTGATCTGCGGCGGCGGCGATGTCGTCTTTGTTCATCGTAAGCCACGCCTCGTACTGTTCGAGATCAAGAACACCATCACTGATCTGAACGAGCTCAGACCTCGCTGTTCCGTCCAGCGCCGCTTCAGTGACGGGATAAAACGAAATCCTGTCAAACCGCCGAAAGAACCAAGCCTCAGTGTCAACGAGGTCAGCATCCCAGATCTCAACTGTTCGTCCGACAAGCTGATACCCGCCAGGCGAATCCGTCGCGTAGATACACATATACTGGCCCCCGATACCAACAGCGCCGCGAGGCGTGAAAGAGCGCGAAGGATTGTACTTTGTTCCGAACAGGCGATGACGTGGATCCAAGGGGATTGCACATGGGGAGCCCATGAACACATCCCCTAGTCCAAGGACCACGAATTCTGCGGCACTCAAAACCTCGGTAAGATCAGAGATACCGTTGAGCTTTTGGAGGAAGTCGATGTTGCTGGGAAGCCAGGGTGCATTTGGACGAATTGTTGCTGTATATCGCTCGATGGCGGCGCGGCTGATACTATCGTCGAACGCGATGGGAAGACGAACGCTTCTTGAGGGGACTTGCGAGGGGACTTTGTACGAGCGGATATGATCTGCTAAGCGTGATAGCATCAATTCTGGGGACAGGTCGCGAGTGTAGGTGACGTGGAGGCTGAAGACGCCTGGGGTGAGTTCCTCAACGCCAGGAATGGGTTTCTTCTCATGGTTCTCGCAGAATGCCGATATCTCGAAGTTGTGACGAAGATTGAAAGCGGAAGCATCTCCAAACTCCAACAGAAATGCCCGGTCTCCTGCTTGGCGGACCGTGACCCTTTGGCCGTCATGTTTGATGGTACCGACGGCGGCGGGAATTCTTCCCAACTTCTGTACCAGAGCTGCCTCATCAGACGGAATTCCCTCTAAAGCTTCAAGAGGTGAGAGCGTCTCAATGGCTTTATCAAGATCCTTTTCTAACCCAATCGCAGTCGCAACATCAACGGGATCGAAACGAATCGTATCCCCAGGCCGAACCTGTCCCATCTTCCACAGATCCGCAGAGCACACCACGCACAGCACCACGAATCCACCGAGACTCGGGCCATCGCACCCAAGAACGACAGCTTCATCTCCAGTGAAGCTAACGCTACCTATCGAGTACGGAGCGTCATGGATATTGGAAGGATGTAAGCCGGCTTCACCGCCGCTTTTGCGAGACCATTCTGGTTGGGGGCCAGTAAGACGAACACCAAGGCGGTTACTGTTGTGATGAACCTTCCAGTTGCTGAGGTACAACGCCCTGACGCTTTCAGGGGTGAAGTAGTCTGGGGCTCCGTGAGGACCGGGGATGACTCTGATGGTCCATAAGGCCTTGGGGTGAGTTGGCACAGGCACTGGCGATATAGCTTGAGCCTCACTGACGGAAGCATCTGCAGGACCGGCGGCTAGGATATCACGCGCCTGGAGCTTACGACCGCCAAAGCCTCCCAGCTTTCCAAGTTCGAAAGTCGCTCGACTGCCCATCACGACTGGGACTTCAATTCCTCCCCGAATAGCAAGATATACACGATGGCCATGCTCAACGACCCCAATGCTTAGTATCTGACCTGCTTCGACACCAATGGCTTGGTTCATTGAAACAGTCACATCGTCGATTGTAACTTGCGCAACACCACCAACGGCGGCAATCACAGCATCACAATGGAACTTCAAAGATGGGCCTCCCAGAGTACATTCTAGCCCAGCGGCGTCTGAAGGGTTGTCCACGAGACGATTCGCCAGTCGAAAGGAGTAAGAATCCATCGGGCCCCCAGGAGGGATACCGATGTTCCAATATCCAGTACGGCCGGGGTAGTCTTGAACCGTGGTCAAAGCCCCAGGCTGAAGGACTTCAAAAGAGGAGGATTGGAACTGGAAGGAGTCCAAAGATTTCGTCGTATAGTCGCCGGACTTGAACATGGGAGACGCTATAATCTGGCGAAGATATTCGAGATTGGTTTGTACGCCTTCGATACGAGTGGCTGCAAGGCCTTTGGCTAAGTTCTCGATAGCCTCTTCACGATCGGACCCCAAGGCGATGAGCTTGGCCACGAGGGGATCGAAAGCCGTCGTGATCTCAATGCCAAGTTGAATCCAGGTATCTACTCGAAGAGAAGGGGGGAACTCAAGAGCAGTGATACGACCAGCGCAGGGGCGGAAAGACTGAAGGGGGCTCTCAGCGTATACACGGACCTCAATCGAAGCACCAGACACTTTGAGCTCCGTATCGAACAGGTGAGTTGCGTTTCCATCGGCAACATTGATCATACACTCCACAAGATCCAGGCCAGTTACTGACTCAGTCACAGGATGCTCAACTTGCAACCGAGTATTCACTTCCAGGAAGTAGAACTCGCTCGAATCGATATCATAGATGAACTCGACTGTGCCGACATTGCGATACTTGACCGACGAAGCGAGGCGAATTGCAGCCGCTCGCATTTCCGCCCGAATTGACTCAGGGACCAATATCGCGGGGCTTTCTTCAACAACCTTCTGATGGCGCCGTTGTAGAGAGCAGTCCCGTTCGCCAGCAGAAATTACACGACCTGTACCGTCTCCGAGGACTTGGACTTCAACGTGACGAGCCCGTTGGATGAACCGTTCGATGAAAACGCCTCCGTTGCCGAAATTAGCTTCCGCTTGCCGTTGAACGCCCTCGAACGTTGTGGCCAGGCTCTGCCTGTCTTTGCAGTAGCTTAGACCAATGCCGCCGCCACCAGCAGTACTCTTCAGCATCAAGGGGAACCCAATTCGCTCGCCTTCCTTGAGAGCTTCTTCCAGTGATGTGAGGAGGGTGTCGCACCCAGGAACAGTGGGAACACCTGCTTCGACTGCAATAGCACGGGCACGATGTTTCAACCCGAGATCAGCCATTTGCTGTGGTGTTGGTCCAATCCATATCATGTCTCTCTCTTCAACAGCAGTAGCAAACTCGGCATTCTCAGAGAGGAAGCCATAGCCAGGGATGATGGCATCAGCTGAAGATTGAACAGCCAACTTCAGTATCTGCTCCATATCCAGATACGTCTCAGATACTGAAGAACCTTCAAGCTTGAGGGCAAGATCAGCTTTGCTAACGTGTGCGGCATCTGCGTCTATCTCAGAGTAGATGGCAACAGCTCGAAGACCCATTTTGTGTATCGTCTCGATTATACGAACCGCGATTTCGCCACGATTGGCTACAAGAATTGTCGAGATAGTACTCTTACGAACCCCGTTTGTCAAAAACTTGGACCCCTTCTCGAGAAAAGCGTGATAAACTCGCCAGCCGCCGTGGCTGGTGATGTCAACAGCTTCATCGAATCCACAAGGCTCGCACACGAACCCCTTTACCCAAGACCCATCTTTGAGTTCGATCGAGCCGATTGCTAGCGGAGGAGTTATTGTGAGCATGAAGCTCGCGAGGGAGGTCTTGGGCAGGTTCCAGACTTCAACCTCAATTTCTGCACCTTCGTCGGTGGGCACTCGCTTCAGACCTGGCTTCTTGGGGCCGGCTGCTATGTTCAGCGAGTATAGCCGATAAGACGACGATGTCTTTGTGACACCCAAGAACCTTCCTCCACGAGTCAATACATCCTTGTTGAGAGGAAAGCCAGTGAGGTGCGCACCAACCACAGCAATGGGGATGTAATTAGACGGGACCGACGATGCTGCAATGCGAGACTCGCGAGCTCTTACACCAGTCGCACCTAACAACCTTTCTTCGTCACCAAACCACTCACGAGCCCAAGACAGGAGAAACGGCTCTTGCCAACGAGTCGAGATCAGCGTCACACCAAATGGAAGCCCATCTGGTCTAAAGCCTGCAGGGATAGAGAGCGCCGACCAGTCCAGAAAGTTCACGAAATTGGTATAAGTGCCCAGAATCGAGTTCTCCTCGACCGGGTTCTTGACAAGCTCACCCAGCGTGGGGAATGTCGGAGACGTGGGTACCAAGAGACCATCAAACCGAGCGAATTCCCGCTCAATTTGACGTGTGAGTTCCTGTCGAAGGTACTCACCCTCAAAAACGTCCGCTGCTGAGAGGGATTGGGCTCTGATGATAATCTTTCGCACGACAGGATCCATTTCTTTGGCAGCGGCATTCTCGATAAAGCCCCGGATGGCTTCGTACCGCTCGGCAACCCAAGGACCGTTATACAAGAGCCGCGCAAGTCGAAAGAGGAGGGAGAAGTCTACTGGAACGAGACTCCATCCCAAGGCTTCTGCTTTGGCAAGAGCCTTGTCATATGCTGGAGAATGGCCGTCTCGACCAAACCAGTCTGGAGAGGCACATATTGCAAGAGAGAGCTTAGTGAGACTTGCTGACCCTCCGAACTCGTTATAGGGAGCAATATCGGGGTCAGGCCGCTCTCTCGAATATGCATCATGGATGTCATATCCTTCGGCGACAGATAGAACTGTCTCTGCATCGCCAACCGTAAGAGTGAATATGGACACACAATCGAGAGATTTGCATGCCGGAAGTACGCCATGAGTGCTTAACGCACCACGAGTCGGCTTCAATCCCACGATGTTGTTGAACCCCGCTGGAACTCGACCTGAACCTGCCGTATCCGTACCAAGAGAGAAGGGCACAATTCCACGAGCAACAACAACAGCACTTCCAGAGCTGGAACCTCCGCTGACACGACTGGGATCGAAGGAGTTCGGGACAGCACCGTATGGCGATCTCGTACCAACCAGGCCAGTAGCGAATTGGTCGAGATTCGTCTTTCCGATGAGGATTGCTCCAGCGGCTTTGAGCTTCGCAACGACTGTAGCGTCTGAAGTAGCTGGGGAAGAGCTGAATGCTGGGCATGCAGCGGTGGTGATGAAACCTTCGGCATTGATGTTATCTTTTGCAGCAAAGGGGACTCCATACAAGGGGAGGGACGTGGAATCAGCGCACAAGGTCTGAAGGCTTGTCCACTGGGCTTTGATTTGTTCAGAAGAAGCTAAAGAGATCCAGGCATTGGTTGTAGGATTTGCTGCTCTCTCGATTGAAATGAGGGAGAGGAGTCGTTCGATGCCATCTCCACGAATCTGGGCAGATCTCCACTGGGAAATTGTCAGGGGGAATGAATCCGTACTGCCGTTTGGAAGACCTTCCACGCCGTTGATGGCAGTATCAAGTTCAGTCATGGTGTCTGGGGGATAAAGGAACACGATCTTCAAAGGAAGCTAGGGGAGGTTATAAGCGCAAGGTAAGAACGACACTGCTGTTTATCGAAGCAGTTTCTTGCACAACAGAATAGCAATATTTATACTAATTTCTCGACACAGATCAAGTCGGATGAGCCTGAAGGTAACACTGCGGAATCGTCTCAACGGGTTCGAATTTCCTTGATTCGTAAACTTGCATAGCCTCGAGGATCAAGAAGCCGAACGATTTCATGTTCACTGATAACACAACAACACCTCTGTGATCAAGAGGACGAACTTGCCGAAGGCCCGGCGGCCAAACACTGAAGCCTGGCTGTACTGTATTATACGAATTGAGTGCTGTATGTGCACGTGGATGAGTGTGAGAAGAAGTCAAGGTTGAGTCTGGGGGTTGAGATTATGTGGAAAATTACGCTATCGCCGAGTCTAAGCCGTTTACAAGTCCACCCTTCGGCCGTGTTGTCTCCGGACATTTACCCCGTCTTCAGGTGCGGGAATAACAGGCAAGTCAATGGCCTTCACTTCATTGATCAACATATTGTTCAGGTCAATTGAAGTTCAATTCTTTACTAATTTTGTTTGTTTCATAGATCGTCAGCTCATAGTCCACGATAAGAAGACCCAGAAATAAATCGGCCAATCATGGAACTCGCCGGCGGCTAAAGTGGTTGTGAACCTGGCCCATGATGGACTATCTGTTTTGGCCGGCGGCGATCTCGTATATTACCAGTCAATTTACTCGAAAAGGATACATCGTTTCAAGAGTCGATGCATGTCTGAGGCAATGGAAGCAAGGAACAATGCAGATGCGAGCTCGTGATTGAGACATGGCTCATGCCATTGGATCCTCGGCTTGCGGGTTTAAAGTGGAGGGACTTCTGCTGTGTTGCGACAGATCGACATATGTCTTCGACTTTTTGTGTGTATCACAGAAGATATACTCGAACTGAAGTTATTCAGACATGGCTAATTCCTCTCTTCAACCAGATCAACTCAAGTCTCACACTGAGCGTCCCATATGTCACCTCAGATCGGTATATCCGTTTCCCCGTATTTCCGACCCCGTGGGGCATTTCCATCTCCGATGAGTCCTTATCGTATTACGACCTTACCGTAGCAGGACGAACTGATAAGGCGCGACCCCCGATGGCGGATCATCAACATGCTCACTATCACGCCGTACGCCCACGACACGACCTCGACTCCCGCTTCGTCAACTGGTCGGCCCACAGCCAGAAGATGGGCCCCTTGTCTCTTATCACAAGCCAGACTCAGACCTAGACGCCCGCGTCCTGTGGGGTCATGTTCTCGCACCCGCTTCACGGCGCCGGTCCGTCTGATCTTTCCCGGTCCGGCTCCGGATCTGGCCGTCCTCTGATGGCTGCCGCCGGGCCGTCTGTCGGTAATACTAACGCCCGTGCGAGACCATGTGACACGTGCCGTGTTCGTAAGACGCGGTGTGTGAAGGAGGAGGGTCAGACGAGATGTGTTTTATGTACTTTTCATAACCAGCCTTGTACGTTCCTGCGTGGGCCTACACCTCGTCAGAGAAGACAGAATCGGGAAAAGGAACGTGAGAAGCAAACTGACGCTCGAGATGGGGATGAGAATCAGGGAATCTCTACGACATCGCCTGTCGCGGGCTTTGAGACGGGGGCCTCCCCGTCGAGTCGACATGGTGATGCTGCGTCTACTCCCGCGAGTGTGGAAAGCAACCAGCAGTTCACCCAAATACAGCAAGTGATGCCCTTTGAGGAGAATATGCCTGAGCCGTCGCGACCTAGTATTCTCAGCAATACTCTCGGCTTAGACCTGAAGACGCATGCTGAATATATCGGACCAACCGACTATCGTGATCCTGTTCTTCTCGACCTCCATCGCCCAAATCTGTTGAACCAGGAAGCTCCACCGCTATCAACAACCTCAACGTTTGCTAGGCGATTGGACTATCAGACTGTCTTCCTCGTTCATCCTGATGAATCTACTGCTTCGGAGAAGATGCGCATTGCAGATCTAGATGCCATCGAAGCGACTGTTCACCCCCTCGGCCGCACGCTGGTCGATCTCTACTTTCGAATTGTTCACCCCAGCTTTCCGATCTTGCATAAAGATGTCTTTATCAGCAAGCACCGTTTATCTCATCGACATTTTGCGCCGTCTTTACTTGCTGCAGTCTATCTGGTAGCTCTCGATTGGCAACTCTACGACAGTCAGCTTGCAGGACGCGAAGTCGAATCTATCCCGGATCCAGCAGCTCTTGAAGAACTAGCTGAGCGAACTATCAACCAGGATATGCGACGGCCCAAGCTTAGTACGCTGGAAGCTGGCTTACTTCTCCTACAACGAAATCGAAAGATTGTCGAATCTGGGTCTCATACACACCCCATGTCTAACCGGATGTTTACAGCTCAAATTGTCGCCATGGCTCAGGATCTGGGTATCCATATCGACTGTAGCTCTTGGTCAATACCTGCATGGGAAGTTGGTCTGCGGCGAAGACTCGCTTGGGCTTTGTACATGCAAGATCGCTGGGGAGCATGTGTTCACGGACGACCCTTTCTCATCCAAGACAACGACTGGGATGTTCGGCCTTGCACTGCACCAGACTATCCCGAGCTTGGCCAGATGGATCCGGAAGCCAACCCAGATCATACTTCACCTATCATTGTTGGGTGGGACTTGTTCATTCGTCACATCGAGTTGACACAGATCCTGAGTGATGTGATTCGAACATTCTACAGTGCCGCAGCCACTCGCGTTGGGGGAACACTGGATCAAATGGGTGTCGTCGCTGCTGTTGAACTGGCGAAGCCTCTCGTCTTTCGTCTTCGAGAGTGGCACGCGAATCTACCAGCTCGACTGCAATTGCAAAATACCCAGCTCAGAGAATTATGTGCCAATGGAGCTCTTCATCTCGCCCATGCAGCAGTAGAAATCGCACTCCATCGTGCTTTGGTCCGAATCACAACACCAGACACACCTGCCTCTCTCTACGAAGTTTTACGATCAACAGCTCGTGCCAAGCTTCAGTCCGCCATTGAACTGCTAGGATCTCTACGCCCCGAGCACACTGCTGCATTCTGGGGAAGCGCCGCAGCTTATCAAGCAGCCGAGATAGGATCTTTGGCTGGTCTGCTCTGGGCAACTGCAGACTCATTTGATGAGATGGCGTGGTGTGCATCTCGAGTCGACGAACTTAGATGGGCACTGAGAGTCCGTGGAGCAGCGGCTCCATTCGCTAGAGAAGCATTGAGGCTGCTCGAGCGTGATATCGGTGGCCTTGGTATGGTTAAGACTGCCAATGACAGCATCTCATGAAGAATGAGCCGACTTACAAAAGGGCCAAGCCACATTTTTATCTGAATCAATAATGACGCTATCATTTGTGTGGCTCAACTTGAACACGAAGCAAACACGAAAGTTGGTGAGACAAGATGTCTATGACATCACCTGTACGACACTTAACGCGACGCGTCCACCACTTTCCGTCAATCTTCCCATTTCTCAACGTCTTTATTCTCGACATCAACAATCTGTCAATTCTTCAATTTTGTTGTCTACAACACCATTGACTATCCAAAATGTCTGATTCAAAGCACGAATTCGTCGACAAGACCAGCAATGGCGAGGAACAAGCTGCAACTGGCGAGAAGCACCAGACTCAGCATGACTCTCCTGATGCGAAGCGCACCAAGAAAGAGGCTGGACAGACGACTCTTGATGATGTGGTGATCATTTCGGATGACTCGAAGGATAATGATAGCGTTGCGGAAAAGGAGGAGGATGAGCCCAAGTCAAAGTCTGATGCCAAGCAGGAAACCAATGGCAAAGAATCGAAGTCAGAGGACAAACAGAAGACTGAAGGCAAGGACTCCGAGACAAATGAAAAGCAGGGAACCAACGGCAAAGATGCTGTCCAGCCTTCTGAGGAAGCTGATGTCCCTTCAAGCATCCTCGAAAAGGGCATCATCTACTTCTTCATCCGCGGTCGCGTAAATCTTGAAGACCCTGAGAGCGTTGATGACATCGCTCGTTCCTTCATCATGCTCCGACCCATCGCAAAAGATGCCCGTCTCGGCGACGGTCCCATTGCTGACTCCGGAAACACTCGCATACTTGCTCTTCCCAAGAAGACCCTTCCCGAGAGTGGAAAAGAGCGCTACATGGTATTCGTCGAAAAGTCTGGAGCCTCATATGATGAGATCAAGAACTCCTTCTTGTCCGCAGACAAGTATGAAACCAAGACAGCTGGTACACGCCGTACACCACCTGCTAAGCCTGTTGGCGAGGGCGTGTATGCCATCACGTCGACTGGTCGAGAGAGTCATTTGGCTTATTTGACGACGCTGCCTGAGAAGCTTGAGGAGGTTCAGAAGGAATTGGGACTGAAGGAGAAGGGGAGCTTCATCATCAGCACCAAGAACCCTCAGTATCCGGGACCTCAGAATGCTCAGTTGCCTCAGGGACCTGACTTTCCCAAAGAGTGAGTCTCCTCATCTTGTTTTGCGAATCAATGGCTAACATGTCTAGAATCATCGATGAGTTCCGCTCTCTGCGCTGGCTTCCCTCCAAGCCATCCCACTTTGACTACCCTAACGCCCAGATCCTTCTCATTGGTGAATCAGATGGTATTGAGAAGGCTGTTGAGCCTCAGAAGAAGGATCAGAAGGACGGAAAGGAGGAGCCAGAGACGGTGCTTGAGCATCTTGAGGATGACGATGTGAAGCGCATGAAGCATCTTGCCGATGACCAGTCTGCAGCTATCTACGCGGACTTGCATGTCCAGGCTAAGGATTATCCTAAGATGCAGACGACCTTTTAATGGGAGACGGTTGGAGCTAAGAGTGGGTGGACTATGTGATCATGGGTATGGTCATGTACATCGGAAAAGGGCGGCGTGAACTGAGCCCATCTTTGAAGGAACGAAATGATAAAGATATTTACAATGACAGTTCAGGATCACTGTGACATCGCTGCGTGGTACCCTTGTGCTGAGACTTTTTATGGGCGGGATGTTATGCTACGGTCGCTTCTTGTTCCAAGGCCACCATGTCCTGCCCTCTAATCCTTTACATACTGTCAGTCAAGACACTTTTGAAAGAGTCTGGCAACTGCCCATTCCGATATTTCCACAATCGACTCAGATCTCCCATCATAGGAACCTCATCCGGCCTCATAATCCCATTCTTCGACCCCCTCGTCACCCGTCACAACAAAACCTGGGGGAAGTTCAGCCTTGGTGGTCACTTTCATAGTACCGTCCGTCCTAACACGAACTTTTCTGTGCATAAAGTCTCCCTCCGTAGCATCTCTCGCCCTCTGAAGCGTCTTATCCAAAGGGAACATATCATCAAGATAATGCTGATTCAGCTGATGCTCTCCCTCTATTAATAAATACCTTCCCCGCAAACCGATTCTGATTCTGCGTATAATGCCTCGTGAAATTAAGAACTCCAAAACGATACGCAAAGTCCTTCTCATTTACATGATGTTCAATATGAGGAACAACAGAAGACCTGGTGCCGTTGCCACGGTAGGGATTGCTAAAGTGGTTGGCGAGGTTGCTGAAAGTGTAGACTTCGAGTTTTTGAAGCTTGTCGAGGGGCATTTCATCGAGGAGCCAGTCGATGATCATGCCGCCTTCTATTCCGCATTGGGAGTGGAGGATAAGGATTACTTTCTTCTTGTGATCGTCGAGAAGGGCGTTTTTGACGAGGACATAGCATTCTCGTACGTCTTGAGTTGCGTAGAGGAGCGCGCGTTGGATAAGACATTGGATGAGATCGAAGAAAACGCCGGCACTACGAACATTAGCATTGACGATTATGTGAAGAGTTATTTCTGGGACTCACGTTCAGTTGTGAATACCAACTACTGGCCGATGGAGTGTTCGTGAGATCCGGTCGATATTCTTCTGGAACCAATTCTTGCTAAGGCCGCGATCAGCAATGTTGACAGAACAAGTAGCAGAACCCACCCGACGCAGATACCGTTGAGAAATATCCAAGCCTCGTCGCCATGACGAGGCCAACTCCTCGTAAACCCATCTTCGGTCGACTTCAACCCACTACTGGGAATTCCCTTATTAAAATGCCAACAAACAAGTTCGCTGCAAAGAACACCCCAACATAACCGATATACACAAAAGTCGGGAGAAACGACAGTGTAAACAGAGAAACGAGGAAAGCGAACTGGGTTGCAGAGAGAATACAGTGGATTGTGATGCCGATGAGGTTCTCACGAGAAGGATAAAGTTCACAGAACGGACCGGACTTCCAGGGATACAGAGGGATAAAGAGGTAGGGGAGATAAAAGAAGTCCTGGAAGAAGAGTTTTATGTCGGAGAGGAAGAGAAAGAGGGGTGTTCCTGTGTAGGGAGGGGGTTTGCGGATTGGTTCGAGAGCTTCGTTGGAAGGGGGCTCCTTGTAGGGGAGCTCTGAGTCTGAGTCTGGGCTGGAATACATCTTGACTTGTTAACTGATCATTGAATAGTTACAAATACTATCACATGTTGATTCTCCTGGAATGCGAGAGGCGTAAACGCCATGACTACGCCCACAGCAATGGCAATTCGCTCGTTAATTTGAAGCCACTGACATAGAGTAAATTCACTTCTATTCTCAATTCCTTTTACCTTGCCCTTAGGGAGCAGAAAATCTTCTGATCCTAAGTTTATGAAATACTTAGTCTAAAGGTCTACTAAGTTTATCCTAAGTTTACCTAAATTTATCTAAGTCTTTTGGTCTTTTAGGATAGAGACCCTAAGTTTTTATGCCTCCCCTTGCTTGCCAGCGTGTGAAAGCATTCCGAAAGCAGACGATACGAGAAAGTGGCTGGAACTGACATATCTCGGTGGACCTGTACCACGATTATCCATCTTGGAAAATTGTGATGTGTTAGACACTGAACTGGGCTGTACATGGTACAGTAGCGAGATACCAGATCGAGTTGCTGCTGAAGGCCAATAGTGTCGCAGTGTATCTCGATTTGTCCCATATTGTGGTAGAATTCACCCCACTTTTGGGCATCATCTATCCTAGCGTGAACCGCACTTGTCTTCGGAGGTTTCTGTACTTATACTAAGGGTGAAGCTGCTCTTGAGTACAACCGACATGGGTAAAGAGGTGGAGTGAAACTTGTTTGCTCGCCCTTAAAGGGACACTGAGGCAAATTAAATAGCCTTTCAGAACAATCTAGCTATCCCGATAACATAGGGCACTTAACTGGGCTTCTCATCTTTTGGCCTAAGGGACTAGTGATATGTTATTCACTGCCGAGGGCACTGATGCTTCTCTCGCCACGTTATGTCTGGGAGGCAAGAAGACTTAGGATCTCTAATCTAAGCGATGATAAGATTCAGGTACACTTAGGCAAATTTAGTAGACCTTAGACCACCTTAGGTCAGAAGTTTTGAGTGTTGTGATGTATACAGGAGGTAGTTGATGAGCAAGATGTTTTTAGTGATTTGTCTGCGCAATGGCAGAGACCTTGTATTTTGATGTTCTTTGGGTAGCTAATTGGCATGTAAGTGACTTTAATCCAGCTTACTTTCTAATTATTGCAAGTTTTGGCTTCAATTCCACAACGATGACTTTGCCGGCTTGCGTTGATGGCAGCTGTTAAGCATTTCCACCAAATTTGTTAGTGTACACTAACATTCTTGGCGCGTCAATTTTGACGAGCTCATCCAATGCGACCAACCTCACTCATCTTCCCAACACAGCCACTGGGTTCCCTTCCATACCAAAATGGATGTCCCCGTCGCTGCCAATATTCTAGGCACACTCGGAGCTGTAAGTCCCCTTGTCTGCCCTGTTAAAACTCCTCTGCTGATGTTGCTAGGTCTGTTGGTCAATCCAGGTTAGTCCTCTCACCCACGTACAAGACCACCACTAATACTCTGTAGCTGATTCCTCAAATCATCGTCAATTACCGTCGCCATAATGCAACGGGTCTTCAACCATCGATGATGATGCTCTGGGCATGGGCAGGTGTTCCGCTAGGCGTGTACAACATCGTCAAAGAGTTCAACATCGCCTTACGGATACAGCCTCAGATCTTGACGCTTTTGAGTCTCGTAACATGGATTCAATGTTACTACTACGAACGAGTACGAACCCTAAGTCCATTCACACGTAATGAAGCTAACGAATGTCAGAAATGGAGTGTCTACCGCTCTTTACTCGTTGTCGTCCCAATCGCAGCCGTCATGGGCGGAATCCAAGCCAGTCTCATCATCGCCCTTCGCATCGCCAAATCACGCTCGCTAGAATGGCCTCTCATCCTCATGGCATCTCTGTCCGCAGCCTTACTCGCAGCAGGCGTACTAACCCACTATTGGGACATCTGGAAGCACCGAACAGTCCGTGGCATATCATTTCTCTTCGTGGCCATTGATGCAGCAGGTGATGTGTTCTCACTTGTGTCCGTGTTCTTCCAACCTGAGCTTGATGTTCTCGGCATTGTTATCTACGCGACAGAGTTTGTTCTATGGTGTGGTGTTTTTGCTTGTGGTGGGTATTACAACCTGTTGCCATGGGTCAGAAAGAGGTTTGGGAGTGAGAGTAAGAGGGTTGAAGGTGAGGAGAGTGCAGGGGATGGGGTCATGATGAATGAGAACGTTTCTTCTAGTTCGGTGTTCAGGACGGTGAGTGGGAATGGAGAGGGCGTGAGGGTGAGGAATGCGCATCGTGGATCTCAAGATGTTGAGTGAGCATGGAAAGTGAAAACGTTGCAATGACCCCCAACTGTCGGTTTGCCTAACATAGAAGAAGGCCTCGAGGTATTCAATTAGAATATTGCAACGATTTCTAAGATTATCGCCATAAAACGAATTGCACTGCTTAAATCCATCACAGGACAAAGAGATGTCCATCGCCTTGTGTCAGTTTGGCTAGTGTTGATCAAGGTTGAGAGTCATGTCTTGCGCCTACTATCAAGCTACTATAACCTTAACCATAAGCTTGCAACCTGTCAATTGTTTCTCGTATTTCTCACTATCAAATCAAGTCGTTCCCAAGACTCGATTCCAGACTCATTCTAGAGCGTCCTGCTCCCGCGACAGGGGCTTGCTTTTTAGTGGATCTAGCCCCTTGAAAACGTCACCCTAAGACTATCCCGGCTTTCCACTTCCATCCATTCCATCATGTCTCTTCCCGCGACAACCCAAAACAATCTTCACATCGTCATTTCTTAGCAAAACAGGGCCCTAGTGCCATGTTCGAGCTCCAGCCGCAATGCCTTCAAGCTGGTCCTCCTCCAGCCGGCGACTGATGCTGAATAAACGCTTCAGTCGCATGGCCATTGCTGGCCTCTGTACCGTCGTCTTTCTCATTCTTGTCTTCTGGGGTGCCATCCATGGTAGCTATGGCGTATCCCAATACTATTCTTTTTCGACGACGAGCTCTTTTCGCCCCGTATCCGTCGATCCTGAGGGTAAGACAACACAAGACCTTTGCGCAACGTTCCCCAAGCATTTGCTACAGACGATACAACCTGTTCTCAAAATGGGCCACGCCGATACGAAAGAAAGACTCGATGCTCAATTCGACAGTGTGAGCGCTTGCTTTGGAAAGGATGAGCTGCTGGTCATCTCGGATCTCGACGAGTCGGTACACGACCATCAAGCGATCGATGTCCTCGCCGACTTGCCCGCCATTTACTACCACGACAACCCCGATTTCGTGAACTACATGTGGCAGAAGGAAATGCGGGCAAATGGCACCCTCGACGTGGACTTGGAAGCAACAGCGCGCATCCAAGGTTGGAGGATGGACAAGTTCAAATTTCTCCCAATGATCGAGCGCGCATGGAAAATGAAGCCAAACAAAGACTTTTACTTCTTCTTCGAGACAGATACGTAGGTTTCCATACCAACACAGCTTAACACGCCACTAACGGTTACAGTTACGTCTTCTGGGATAACGCTTTCCGCTTCCTCCAAACCTTCGATCCCGATGCGCCGTTATACATGGGCTCTCCCTCGCCGGGTACGCACGACGTTAAACAAGACATAAAGACATGGTTCGCAAACGGCGGACCAGGCTTTGTTCTCAGCCGTGGTGCGATGAGGGCACTCCTCGTCCGTAAGACAACGCCCTATGGGCAGTACGTCGAACCGCCAGCTACGGAAAAGTGGCTTCCCATGCTTCGGGACGATTGCTGCGGTGATAGCGTTACGGGATGGGCGTTATGGAACGTTAGTGTTCCGCTGAGGGGATACTGGCCACTGTTCAACCCACATCCTTTGCACAGTATTCCGTTCAGCGACAAGTATTGGTGTCAGCCTGTCATGACGCTACACAAGTCGTCGCCGAAAGACATGGTTGACGTTTGGCGGTGGGAGTTTGCGCAACGACAGCTCGGGGTAAGTTGAACACCGGTAAACTTTGTTTCACGTACTAACTGTCACAGCGCCCGTTACTTTACTCTGACGTATGGAAGTTTCACCATCCCGGCGATCGTGAAGTTGCAGAGAATTGGGATAATGGGAAATGGGATTTTACAGTTGCACCGCCCGAAGCAAAGATCGACTCATTTGAAGCATGCGGCAAGTACTGCAAGGACAGCAGCGATTGTCTACAGTACAATTGGCGAGGGCGCGACGAGAAAAAGTGTGTTACCTCCAAGTCCTTCCGAGTCGGCGAGCCACGACAACCGGAAAAGATCATCGAGCCTGAAGTCAAAGACGACAAGGGCAATGTTATACCACCACCACCAGATCGCCAAGATCGGTGGGTGGATTTCAAGTCAGGATGGCTGACTGAGAGGATTGAGCAGTGGAGGTCGAACAGGAATTGTTCAGAAGTGCAATGGGTTGGACCCAGTACTAAGAGAATCTTCTGATGTGATACCAGGGTCGTTGAGTATACATACTGTTAGCCAGGCGTTGGGGGTAAGGGCATCACAGGTTATATAACATGCATTCCTAGCTGAGGTAGCGATAGCATCTTCTAGGCGAGTCTTTTTGCTAGGTATACTTGTCATCATATCATGAATACAGCATCTCCGAGCGAGGCATCACTAAACGGGCCGTAGAGTGAAATCTCACCATTCATCGATCGACAAACCCCCACGAACCATTAATTTAATTTTAATCCCGGTTCACATCCGCAGGTCCAGAACACCAACTAAAAAAACTCTGTAGTCTACTTTAGCTCAAAGAGCTACAAGGGTGCTTGAATGCCGCTGAGGCTTAAAACGGCTATCGATGGTGATGAAAAATTGCCTCACTGCAAATGATGCTATGCTATCATATGACATTAATTTGCTTGGCTGCGGCTAAAAGACACAGCGTAGCCAGTTTTTGAGCCCTCAGCTAGTTTTTCAGAACTCAATTGCTCATTGCAACCTCACGATATCTTCGCCACATTAGTTGTCAAGAGTAAAATGGGAACAGAAAGTCAAGTAAATGCCGCGCAGGCACCGATAGGAACGAGAGATGAGGCCATCGCCATTGTAGGTGAGGAGCAGCACTCAATTGATCCCATCGTCGCAGCGCGCGCCGTTCGAAAGATTGACTTGTTTCTCATCCCCGCCATGATCATAGGCTGTACGTTTCCCTGTCTCCCCTTCAAACTGTTCTAACATATATAGATGGACTTGTATACTACGATAAAGCCATTCTTGGTTCAGCTGTTCTCTTCGGCATGACGACGGATTTGCACCTTACCATTGTTGATGCATCGACTACACCGCCAACAGTTGATACCCGTCGTTTAAGCTGGGCGACGTCACTGTTCTACTTTGGGATGCTGGCGGGTTTGTATCCCATGACATTTGCTCTTCAGAGGTTCAACATCGGTCGTGTTCTTGGTGGTGTGGTTGTTGTGTGGGCTGCTATTTGTATGCTCACTGCTGCGGTGACGTCCTACCAGGGCTTATACGTACAGCGATTCTTTCTCGGTTTCGTTGAGAGTATAATCCCCACTGGGTTCATGTGCATCGTCTCGGGGTACTATACGCAAGCTGAGCAGTCGTTGCGGCAGAGTTGGTGGTTCTCGTCGACTGGACTGTTCACCATTATTGGTGGAGCGATGAACTATGGTTTTGCGCAGATTACGGGTGGTGGGTTGAAGAGATGGCAGTACATCTACCTCCTCGCTGGATCACTCACCTTTTTGTTTGGACTATTCTGCTTCATCATGCCGAATTCGCCTGTATCAGCTTGGTTCCTCACTTCTGAAGAACGATTCGCTGCTGTTGAGCGTTTGAGACACGGACAAACCGGTGTTCGTTGCACCAAGTTTAAAAGCTCCCAACTAAAAGAAGCTATCCTCGACGTCAAGATCTGGCTCGTCGCACTTATGATGGCATCAGCATACACCGTCAACGGCGCAGTAAGCGGTTTCGGACCCCTCATCGTCTCGACCTTCGGCTGGAGCACCCTCCACTCCATCCTGTTCCAATTCCCCCTCGGCGGACTGTGCTTCATCGTGATCCTCCTCACAGGCTGGCTGGGCTCCAAGTTCACCAACATCCGTATCTTCATGCTCATCTTCACGTGTCTCCCCGTCATCGCAGGCTGTGCGATCATATGGAAGAGCGAGTGGAGTTACCGCGCTGCTGCACCGGTGGTGGGATACTCGATCACAGGATTCTTTGGGGGAACGGTGAGTCTGATAATCACTATTGGAATGTCGAATGTTGCGGGTCACACGAAGAAGAGCTTTATGGCTGCTACGATATTTGTGGCGTATTGTGTGGGAAATATTGTTGGGCCGCAGCTAGTTTGGAGTCAGACGAAGAAGGATCACTATCCAGCTCTTTGGCTGGGGTTGATTATCTGGTGAGTCTTGTTTACATGGTTCTTGGGTTCGTGGCTGACTGTTTTAGTTACATCATTTGTATTTGTGCGTCGACTACACTGTACTTTGTTCTGAGGAATGAGAACAAGAGGAGGGATGCTCTGGGGCTGGGAGATGAGAGCGAGAGAGCCAAGCTGGCGTTTCAGGACTTGACTGATAAGGAGAACCCTTACTTCCGCTATGTTTACTAAAAACTAGAATATGGCATTGATAGACAGGGATAGAGAAAAGTTGCAGGGGGTTTGGACGGACCACAATACACGATAGAAGTTGGTCACATAAGCAGTTCAGAACAAGAGAATCCTACCAGCGTCATGTACCAGCGAGCATTGAACAGCCTTTCCATAAAATCATGGCATATCATTAACTACCGACAAGGTACGGAGTATCTCATAAACAATCCCATTCCCTCCCCTACTTTCGAGGGGTCTTATTGTTCCTGATCTCAATAATAAACTTCCCAGTGTTCATACCACAGACGAAAATCTTTGTCTTTTTGAGCTTACCCTCTACAGCTTCGAAGGGGTCTCGTTGTGGTTCTTGATCTCAACGATCAACTTTCCAGTGTTGATACCCTTGTACAGATCCACAAGAGCCTGCTCAGCAACCTTGAGACCACCACGAACAACGGTCTCCGTCTTCTTGAGCTTACCCTCCGCGATCCACTGAGCCAGCTCAGCGCGAGCAGCGGGGAAGTCCTTGACGTGGTCGAGGACGATGAAGCCCTGCATTCTGATGCGCATGGTGACGATCTGGGAGAATGCTCGGGGTCCCTGGGGCTTGGCGGCGTTGTATTGGCTGACGAGACCGCACTCGATGAAGCGGGCGTGTTCCTTTGCTCGCATGAGACACATGTCGAGGATATCGCCACCGACTGGGACATGTTAGTTCTGTCATGCTTGAAAGTTAAGAGGGACTTACCATTATCGTAGTAGACATCGATAAAGTCCTTTGTCGCCTCAGCGAACTTTTCCTTAAAATCGTCCGCCTTGTAGTTCAACGCAACATCGAAGCCCAACTCCTCAGTGAGCCACTTGCACTTATCATCACCACCCGCGATACCCACGACCCTCGCACCCTTGAGCTTAGCGATCTGGCCTGCTACACTTCCCGTCGCACCAGCAGCGCCCGACACAACGACAAGCTCACCGGGCTTAGGGTCAGCGATCTTGGACATGCCAACCCAAGCAGTCAAGCTGGTCATTCCAAGAGCAGAGAGCATGTCCTTGGGGTCTTGGAGGCCGGGGTACAGAGACGCAGGCTCGAAACGACCTTCGGGGAGAATGGCGAATTCGGTCCAGCCTGTTAGGGCGGAGACGATGTCGCCTTCCTTGGCCTGCTTGCTCTTTGAGGCGAGGACGCGGCATGCACATGAACCACGCATGGTTTGGCCGATTTGAACGGGAGGGAGATACGATCTCATGTCTGAGGGTGTTAGTAAAGATATGTGTTACGAAGGAAGGGGGGGCGTACCTCGGAGCCAGCCCCTCATAGCGGGGTCAAGAGATAGGTAGAGAGTCTCAACGAGGATTTGACCATCTTGGAGATCAGCTGGTGTGGGAGCTGGAGATGTCTTTTGGGTAAAGGTTTGACCGGGGATGATGTCGGTAGTGGGACGCTCAGCGAGCACGATGGAGAGGTTATCACGGGCCATTGTGAAACAGTTGTGTTGTGTTGTTGTTTACTTGGTGTAAGTGCTGGTGTTGGTGTAAGGTGGTGTTGTGTTGTGGAATGTTGAGCAACAGGTTTGTGTCTCTCGATCTAAAGTTGTAAGACAGTAGGTCGATCTTTCCAGTATTTATACCAATGGCGTATACGTATTTATCTTTTTTCACGATGATAAACACCAAGCGTATCACACTTCTTTCGTCCTCTGAATAAGTAAGTAAACAAAAGATCTAGTAAGTAGTTCCAATCAGTCTCAACAATCCGGGGACTCACGCCCTTTAGTACCTCAATTTTTCTCTTCCCACTCACGTTCCTTTAAATAAACCTTAGCATGCTTTCTAGTGCGGCATGTCTTGTCTATCTGGGGTTGTTATCTCCGTGAGTTTTAGAGCGGTGTTTGGTCAGCTTCCCACTGCCAACCACAGTATTAAAAAAAACGCTAGGACGCGGGACGCTATTCCCATGAGGACATATCCCCGTAAGTGTAAGAGTTCGGCACCGGCGCCTTCGGGGATCGACCGGCGGTGGGGAACGACCGGTCGAGAAAAAAAGCTGGGGAGGTGATTCAGCTCTTTTCTTTGTCCATGTTGAGAAAACGTGTCCGGTCGTAAGCAGTGCCGAGGTTCGGTCGCTTCGCCTTAGGGGGTAATTGGGGCCTTGATTTGAACTCAGCTTTGATCCCAGGTGTCCAATGGTGCGTCACTACATGGCAATTGAGCTTTTTCTCTCCAATTCCGTCTCTTGTTTTGTTCTGTCTTGGTAATCTCTCCGACGGACACAGTGATAAACCTCGGTATCCGTCGGTGCCGTATTTGAAGCTTCGTCCGGAGGATTCGTAAGACTGGACGTGTATGTACCTCATGTGGTTGGTATATCTAGAGATGACGTTTGTTTTAAGAAGACGCAAGCCTCGGGACCCCGCTGGACGTTTGGCCGAAAGGTTCTAACGATGGAGATCTTTTGAGGCGGTAACATTAACGCTTCGCTTCGCTTCCGGACCCGATCTCTCGGCCGAAGTGACATGGATTGCTATCGCCAATCAATGGACGAACTCGGCAGTTGAGGGGACCATAATGCAGGTAATATCGTAGCCAAGTCGATTACTGTGTATGTGGTGGATGGTTGTAAGCACTCTTTTCGTCCTTCTGGATCGTCTTACGAGTCGGCGTGGCCTTGCTTCGTCTTGCAACATCCGGGCCTTAGTTCAAAGTCAAGTTGTTTATTCTCCGATCTGATCTGCATTAAACGAGAGGCACATTATGCATGATGTCATTCCGTTCATCTTGAACATTGCTCAAATTGCTGTCAATATTGTATGTCTTCTTCCAATGATACATGGTAAGAGCTCAGGTTCGACGCTTTTGTAGGTCGTCTCTGAACATACTCAATTAAAGTAGCCAGGGTAAACGGATTTCAAAGTCTCCAAGTCCGCCTCAGCATTGAAGTCTCAGGCTCTGATTGCCGTTTACGGACATACGGCGTCTGAGGTTGCATTGCGTCCGCTCGGCAGCCGAGACCGACCCCTTGAGCCCACTGTTCTCCCCTCAGAGTCCCGGTCACTTTTTTAAATACCTCTACAGAACTTTGAGAATGTGATCGGACATATAACCATTGTCAGGGCTTTGAAGCGGTCATGGAAACTCACCGTTCTGGTATCATGATGAGGCTGGCGTCTACGAGCCGGTTGAATACTACTCCGCCGAAGTGTCTCGACGTCTTGTGCATCCGTGCGAACGCAATTCGAGGGTTACTTCAAGGTTTGGTACCAGGAAATAATGGCTCTGTTAGAATTGGTCCATCTATGTCGATGCGCAGCGAGGAAGGTCTCTAGATAGGTATGTACACCAGAGCATGAATAATACCCAGCGAACAAAACAGTACACAGAACAAAATAGACTAAGGAGGCTGTTAGTGATCTGATCTGATCTGTATTCGCTTTGGGACATATCACCTTCGTCTCCCAGTCGCGCACAAGTAATCCTTATCATCAAGGAATGTTTATCGTCTTTCACGGCGCTTTCATCTTTAGTGTGTAAGTGATAGCCTCCTCAAATCCACCTCACTTACACTCTACGGTTTTTAGGATGATAGACTGCTTCATGCTGTAGCGCAACACTGTCATATCATGAGGTGCTTTAGATACCCGGACCTGTCACTTTTTGGTAGAGCTTGAGTCACCACTAATCTATTTGTCAAGCAACTCGGCCGAACAAGAGCGAGTCTGTGCTTTTCCTGTATCACTCACATAAATGGCATTGTCAGTTATCGAGTAACTTCGAGCCCTGCTGTGGATCCAGCATGGTTAAGGGCCATCGTCTGTAGGATACGATCAATTGATCTCGAATACCCCTTCTCTTCCCAGTTAATCTCTAGGCTGTGCATAGTTTGAAGTACGAAGAAGACTTGGCTTAAGGGAAATTAAATATCTTCGAGGAGTACTGGATGACTGTTAGTGACGTGGATAGAGATTTACTACCTTCCAAAATGTATGACTCTATAAGTACATGGTTGACCTACTTATCACTGCGATAGCTTCAAGAGAAAGAGTTGAAGCCAATATTATATCGCAAGCAACAAGGACAACGATTTAGCCAGCTGAGTGAGTTGAACAAATCGCGCATAAACCATGACGCTTCACCCGTAGGGGCTCACTCAATTCAATTGAAAGAAAACATACTCCTTAATACCTTTTTGAGTGACAGAAAGGCCATCAATCGACTTTTAGCAGTTTAATTCTGACCTGAAATTGTTCAGAAGTCTCTCGGTTATGTCAATTGATAAAACGCGCTCTGGTCCCGGGTAGGCAACTTCACTTCACCCGGACAGCTGACTGGCACAACGACTTCCCTGCCTTATCACGCGATTCATCAAGGAGACTGGACAATTATGGGTTGGCGAGGTATGGACCAGATATCGTTTGAAGGTGAGGATTTTTGTCTCCTTCAACAGATGAATCGCAGCGCATCCGTGGGCAAGCTAACGTATTCCACGCAGAAACAGTTTCAGTCTTGGCGTTTCAACGAATTCTGTTACACTCCACGTTTTACCCACCCGTTTACTGAACCTTACCATTTTTCGAGGTGCCAGACGACTTCAGACTCCAAAATGGGAACATAACCCATGCAAAGACCCTGCTGGTATTTGAAAACTAAAGCATTTAAGACTAACCTAAGTATTCTTCTGTCAATTGTGATGGAAGTATTTAGCAGAAACAAGTGCCGATGAGTTTCAGAATAATTGGTAGCGTCAATTAACCGGATACCGATCACGATGTAACTCTACGATCTCCCATCTTAAACACGCAAACTAACTCACGCAAATCACCCAATAACAGCTCATACCAACTCTCGAACAATTCTTCCGTTAAATTTCTCCGTCTCCCACCACCGCATCTGTGCATGAAACTCTAATCTGTCGATACATCTGCCAAATCACCACCACCACTTGCCCCAAACCACCACCATAATCTGACCAACACTCGATCCTCTCGGTTCGATCGGGCCATTTCAAAGGGGCCAGAGTACCAATCGAGTTTGGCTCGACCGTTTTCCATCATGTCCACCCCCGGCCATTGGCGTGGTCACCCCTGCAAATACCCCAGTTGCGAAATTAGAGGGATCGTGAAAGCGTGTATCAGCCCTACCGAAGGAGCTTCTAGACCTGTTTGTCACCAGAGGCGTTCATTTCATGCTGCAGGAATGAGATTGGATGATGTGCCGGGGACCCGATTAGTTTGATTGTAGGATGCTAAATAATAAGCTCATTCTCCCTCTTCGATCTGGGTTGTTACCTTTGACACTTTCTCTCATTCAGTCACTCATTTCTTGACACCGAATCTCGACGGTTCCGGTTCAGTTCATTCATTCATTTCAAGTAAATTCACTCTTTTTGTATCAAATCTCGTTCTTGGCAAGTCCCAAGATAGTCACTTGGCACCTATTTAAACATCTGAAACTTGTTTCTGTCGATCACGATGAAGTTCTTCCTCCCTATTCTTCTCGCAGCTCCCGCTGTCATGGGCCGAGCCTGCAAGGTCCGACACTCACACTCTTCTGCGGTTGAGCCCGTCCACACTCAGTACCCTGTTCCCGAGCCTGTGATCTCTCAAGCGCCTCAGCTTGTAGGCCAGAAGCCTTCTCCCGTCGAGGTCAAGACTACAGCTTCCAAGCCCAAGACCACCAAGTCTAAGACCACCAAGCCGAAGAAGGTCTCTAAGCCCAAGGCCTCCAAACCGAAGGCTTCTAAGCCCAAGTCTACCACGCCCACGACCACCAAGCCCAGCACTCCCAAGACATCTACTCCCAGTACCGGCTCCAGCTCCAAGTCTACACCTCTTGGTGACGGTGCTTCTGTCTCTGGATCTTCCACCTTCTACGGCGGTAACCTCGCTGGTGGAAACTGCATGTTCTCAACCTACACTCTCCCCTCTGGTATCCTCGGAACTGCCTTCTCTGGCCAAAAGTGGGACAACAGCGCCAACTGCGGTGCCTGTATCGAAGTCACCGGTCCTTCAGGCACCATCAAGGCCATGGTAAGACCCTCCACACTAATATTAAGTACTAAACTGACTCCATCAGATCGTCGACAAGTGCCCCGAATGTGACCCCGGCCATCTCGATCTCTTCCCCGACGCCTTTAAAGCCGTCGGCGGCACAGACGGCATCGTCAAGACCTCGTACAAATTCGTCGAGTGCGGCATCGCCACCCCCCTCGTGCTTCACAACAAGGAGGGTACTTCCGCCAATTGGTTCTCCATCCAAGTCGTCAACGCCAACGAGCCCGTCAAGAGTGTTCAGGTTTCCACTGACGGCGGTAGCACCTGGAAGAGCACTGAGCGCAAGGACTACAACTTCTTTGAGAACCCTGCTGGCTTTGGGAAGACTTCTGTTGATGTCAAGGTTACTAGCAGCACTGGAAAGAGCGTTGTTGTTAAGAACGTTGGCGTTACTGCTGGGGCTCAGTACAAGGCTAGCTCTAACTTCTAAGCTGTTAGTGTAAGCTTAGGGTGTTGAGTTGGCGAGAGTTGTGTATCAGAATTGTGTGGCGCGTTCATGTGCTGAAGCATTTGGCGGCAGGTGTAGGTTAGGCAGCTGGCTGCTTTGACTGGGAACTTGCTGATGAGATACTTGAGCACTGAATGATGATGTGAGATGGGAGTATAGTTTCTTCTTCAAGTACATATTAGACATGAGGACTACCTCCAAATATTTGAATCAGGGTGCCAAAATAAACTGGTCTAAAGGTATACTAAGATATCCTAAACTTACCTAAGTCTTTTCATCATTTAGAAAAGAGGTCCTAAGTTTTCTTGCCTCACCTTGTGAGCTAACGTTGCGATTTTACGGGTGCGGGTATGAACAGTTTATTACGGAGGATCCTCTAATTGATCTTCAGAGCCTACTTACTGCGCTGATTCAGAATCTATTCTGCTGATGGTGAGGGAAGATGGTATACCGTTGGCTCGGCTATGAGACCACCAAGACGCTTGGCTCGTTACTAAGAAATGTTCTCAGCATGATCTCAATCGTCAAAGACTGTTCTCGCTGAACTTAGGTTTCAGGTGTCGTGAACCTTGGCCGAGACCCTCAGATCATTACCGTTTTCGTATACACTATCAATTTACCCGTCTTGGGTTGAACACCCGACTTGGCAAATGGGCTTGTTCAAATGACAATTCCATTGTATTCGCGTAAAACCTGCTTCGGCCGAATGGTTAGCATCGGATCATCTCGTCTTTCTACGGGATACAAGACCTCCCGTATCGGATCAAAGCTTCTCTAATGACTTTTGAAGAAGATCTTTTGCAAAGGCCACTGGCTAGAAGGTCAATAAGTATAAGACGGCAAACATCAGAAGTTTTTCTTGCTCCCTCTCACCGTCTCCATGATTATCGTATCCCCTGGTCCTCAATTACCCCGAATAATTTTGGGGAATTTGGGGAAGAATTCGGGGAATGGAGAGAAACCTTCGGCCCTTTCCCCACAAGCCGCCGCTGATGACATAGCCAAACGGTTCCAAGATATCAACTTCAGCGACAATTTCCCGCCTTTTCGACGCCCAATGCCCCAGAGACTTTTAATTTAGGCAGAAGAGAGATAAACATGATTCGATCAGTCATTACAATCCATCCACAAGAATGCAACCAGCATCAGGGAGACAGTGGAGCCGCAACATGGCCTCGAAATCAGGCACACACGAACACAGCGATGATCATTGCTCTTCTACACCTACAACAGAATAACATGCGCTCCAATCAGGTTCATCCAAGACTTCTAGATTCTTTCGAGAAATCGTATTTCGGATGTCAACTCTGCACGGTTAAGGCGCTGTTGGAGTACCCCAATGCGACATGGCGACAGGGGTTCCCATGTTAATCGATGATATCATTTCTTGGAACGTCTGTTCGCGGAGCCGCTCATATTTCCGCTGAGGTATCGAATTTTGGACTCACGTGGTGCTGTAAGTGAATGAAACACTGTTTGTAATGTATACTGCATCGCCGCGGAGAAGAGATAATGAAGTTATTGCTAGAAGTGAGCCCACGATGCGAAGCTTGGAATGCATCATCATCCTAAAATTTAGGGAGAAATAGTCAAAATTTAGGATTTCGTATCATGTTAAGCTAGTTCTGCCACTTTGCATCAAAGCAAGGCCAAGCTCAGGAGCCAAGCCAAGCCCACCGACGCCATCTCCCACGAGCGACGATCACCCCGTGGGCAAAACTCCACGAGTGCATGACGTTAAGCGGGCCCCCATCACATCGCAAAACCTCACTCGCGCGCTTCTAACCTTCTCCACGCCATCCTTGACGATGCTCCCGAGGGTGTTCTTATATAAAGAACAGCTTCAGCCCGACTGAGAACTTCACTGTTCAAGAGACTGCAGTTCTTTGAGTGTCATTCACAACATCCATCATGTATCGGATCTGGAACATCTACGGTACAGTTACCTCCTTTTGGATAGGTGATTATGGCTAATGTAAACAGCGCTCGCTGCCATAGGCACGATCGGCGGCATGCTCTTCGGTTTCGACATCAGCTCCATGAGCGCCTGGATCGGCTCCGACCAATATCTCGACTACTTCAACAGTCCAGGCTCAACCGAGCAAGGCGGCATCACAGCCTCCATGTCAGCAGGATCTTTCATCGGCGCTCTCGCCGCAGGAGGTATTGCCGATAAACTCGGTCGAAGAAAGGCTCTCATGATCGCTTGTCTGTTCTGGATCGCGGGTGCTGTTCTTCAGTGTTCTGCGCAGAACGTGGCACATCTCATTGTTGGCCGTGTTGTTAGTGGTGTGGCTGTTGGTATTACTAGTTCACAGGTCCTTGTGTACCTTGCTGAGCTTGCGCCTTCGGATATTCGAGGGAGGATTGTTGGAATTCAGCAGTGGTCTATTGAGTGGGGTGAGTTTGACAACATCCTACGGCAAAGTTTCGTGCTAATGTTTACCAGGTATCTTGATCATGTATCTCATCTCTTACGGGTGCTCCGTTGGAGTTGATGGACCAGCTGCCTTCCGCATCGCATGGGGAGTCCAAGCCGTCCCAGGTTTCATCCTCCTCGCTGGCCTGTTCTTCTTCCCCGAGTCGCCTCGATGGCTTGCTCAGCATGATCGTTGGGAAGAGGCGCACTACAACCTTGCCCACCTTCACGCTGGCGGTGATCTCGATAGTCCTGTTGTGATTGCTGAGATGGAAGAGGTCCGCGAAGCTGTACGCATCGCTCGTGAGTCCAAGGATATCGGCTATCTTGGTCTCTTTGCGCCTGGAGTCTGGAAACGCACGGTTGTTGGTGTGAGTGTTCAGATCTGGCAGCAACTTCTGTGAGTGTACCCCTGAAACCCGTGGAAACAACTGCTAATGAGACCAGGGGCGGAAACGTCATGCTCTACTATCTCGTCTACATCTTCAACATGGCGGGAATGACCGGAAACACCGCTCTCACATCCTCCATCATCCAATACGTCATCTTCCTCGTCACAACCGGCGTGGTTCTGCCCTACATCGATCGTCTAGGCCGCCGACCTCTCCTCATCAGCGGAGCTTTGATCTGCGGTGTTCTTCACTTCACCAGCGGAGCAGTCATGGCTGTTCACGGCTACCCCGTTGATGGTATCGAAGGTAACGACATCCTTACCTGGGCCATTTCAGGAGCTCCCGCCAAAGCCGTCATCGCCCTGGCATATATCTTCGTTGGCGTCTACGGTCTTACCTGGGCACCCGTTGCGTGGATCTACGCCAGTGAAGTCTTCCCCCTAAAGTACCGTGCCAAGGGTGTTGGTCTCGCCGCCTCTGGTAACTGGATGTAAGTTACTCCCCCCCACTACCAGATCAATTAAATGTACTGACAGATGAACTTCACAGCTTCAACTTGGCACTCGCCTTCTTTGTCCCGCCATCGTTTACCAACATCCAGTGGCAGACGTACATGATCTTCGGAACATTCTGTATCGCCATGACGTTCCACGCTTTCTTCACTTATCCCGAGACAGCACGCAAGACTCTTGAGGAAGTCGATGTTCTGTTTGAGAGTAATGTTCCTGCTTGGCGAAGTGCAAAGGCTAGCGGTGGGTTTGATGAGAAGGTTCAGGAGGCAAAGCGTACGGGTGGTCTGAAGGGGGAGCTTGAGGAGAGGGAGGCGACTCACGCTGAGACTGCGTGATGTTGATAGTTTGTTGAAGTATAGTCTTTGAGTTACAAAGTTTGGACATGCCCATGTACCCAATAATATTCTGTTATATCATCCAGTACTGAACCTTCCGTGCAGGTGTCCGTTTGACCTCCCCAGTTCGACACATCTCGCTCGTCTATTGCTCAAACAATCCCACTGATTGGAGAAGAATTCAGATTTTGATCTTTCGCAAAACCAATCATTCTGATAGGCAATCAGAAAGCAGGATACCGAGTTTGGCTATGCTGCATGTGTTCTCGGACACTGTGATCCCAGTGACATCCGATGCCTAGACAAGCATACAGGCGAGGGTTTGATAACATCATGGCGAAGAAGGCTTCACAGAAAACTTACAACTTATCTTCAATTCCCATCAGTCACGCCAAGTTCGGAGGTGTCGAGTCCTACTACGCTTTCAGGCCTGCACGCAATTTTCCTTAAGCCTGATCGCAACGAGTCTGGACCATCTGTCCTGGGCACATCCATCCTCGCCATGACCGTAAAGTTCACAAAACCCCGTACGCAGTCGATCGCCAGTGCTTCATCAGGGACTTTTGGCTCTTCATCGAGCGCTAAAGCTTCGTCTATTTTCTCAAGACCTGAAAAGCCAGCACCCCGTACTCGTGCTTCAACTGGCTCCGGAGAACAGGCAGATCCTGTTAAGGTGGCTCGCAATGAGGTTGATCCCAATCATTTTGTCTTCGCTCAGCTCGGTCTACTCTACGTCTATGGAGGGGGCTATGAGTACGCTAAAGGCTGGGGCATTGATGTCTTGAAACAAGGACCATGGTGGCGAAACGACCTGGTCGTAGTAGTCCGACTCGGTCATAAAGGCAATCATGGAGCGGTCTACGTCCTTTACCACCCAAACAGCAGCATCGAAGTTGAAGACCACTCTGATGGAGAGGAACTTGCGCCCGAGGCCAAAGATCATGTTCCTGGACGGCTTCACCCGCGCTGCAATGAGGGGTTTTTACTCGCCAAGATTGCGGACAATCTCAAAGAGTTGGGAAAGTTCAACAAGGAGTTTCGCTTTATTCCCATTACCAAAACCGCCAGCAAGATCCATTGCGCTCAACTCTTTGAGAACAATGAACACGGGCTCACTATTAGACCTGCTCCTGCTATGGTGAAACAGGCTGCCTAGATGAGCACAGGCCTGTTGAGACTGATAACAGAGGAGAGGGACTATGAAAGACACATGGGCATGAGTTGCCGATAGGATATTCGGCTGGTGGATAGATGGACGCTTTGGTTTTGTCCTTTGTCCTCTATATGATAGGTTTACCTGAAGAGTGACTCTTCAAACAAAGAGGGAATGACCGGGCCATCAAATGACAGACAGCACAGAGATGTAACTGTTTTATCCCTCATTGAAATGTTCCGATATGTAGTTACTCCATAAAAACAAGCAATTCACAACGTCCCTGCATCAAATCCAATTCGACTGCCGTGGAAGTGAAGGTCAAACGGTCCAACGGTCGAAAAGTCCATCAGCCAAGCCCGTTCGAATACACAATTGTCCCACAATCCCAGGACCATGTGTCGTAGTCCACAAACCCTAGTCCCTGACTTGCGCCACGCCTCATTGTCAACGTCGCATCAATCCTGGCGCTAAAAGCGTCAAGCGGGATAACTTCGAACCGGGCTGATCCTTCAAAGGATTATGCTTAAAATATGGAAATTCGTTTACAGAAGACGACGACCCCACATGGGGAAAAGGTAAGATAGATCTTGGCTAACACTACATTTATGAAACCGTAAATTGTTGATCATCGGGCCGGTGAGCGTTGTTTTCGGGACCGAGACCAATGAGGGATGTTTGATGTACGAGTAATGGGAGCTGGGGATTGTGGATAGCATCCACTGTGTAAATGCACATGACTACGGTAGATGTGACGATAGACAAAGCACTGCCGTCTTACGCGCAATGAAACGTGCTCACCTCACTGTTGCACGACGCATTGGAGATTTTGTTGTTGGCCAGCAAGGTCATACACCCACGCATCACTAACCTCAACCTCAAAGAGGCTATATACCATAACATTCTCAAACAAACCAATGATTCATCCAAGCAAAACAACCGTTATCAAGCCTAAATATCACTTCGCACTCGCATTCATTCAGATACAAAACAACATCAAGCCGTCATTAAAATGACGTTCCACCATCCCACCTCGAAAGGCCTTCCCAAAAACGACTTAGACAGCTCGAAAGCGTTCCCCCAAAAGGCTTAGCGCTACAAGGGTGTCATCCTAGCTTCCGAGACTCAATTTACTGGATCTGATAGCGCTCGGGGGTTCTGATTGGTCACAAGTTCGGATTCGCTTGTCGCAGGGCTGAAGCGCTTGGCATGGGTGCGTAATGGGAGATGGATTTGGATAGTCATTCGAGGGTTGTATTGAGATGCTTTTGACGGTTAAAGCGTTCCACTGACGTGCAGGGTTGATGGATGAGGTGAGATGTATAAAGCAAAACAATCTTCCGACTCGAAAAGGCTATTCCACTCCTGGCCGTCATCCATCAACCTTATCTCTTCCGCCCCCTCACCTCTCCCTCTCAATCTCAACATCAACTAAACAATCATCATGTCGCAGGTACCGCCAGACAACTTGGTCATCTTTGGCCCCGACGCAAATTGCACTCTCGCTCTATGTCCCGTAGAATGGAGCGTCTACCAATACCGTCCATCGCTCGCCGCGAACATCACCTTCATCGTCCTCTACGCCATCGCCATGGGGACACATCTCGTTTTAGGTATCAAGTGGAAGCAGTGGTTCTACATGAGCTTCATGATGATTGGGTGCCTGTTTGAGATTATTGGATATATTGGAAGGATTATCATGTATAATAATCCTTTCAACTTCGGCGGTTTCATGGTGCAGATTGTGTTTATCACGAGTGGTCCTGTGTTTTACACAGCGGCCATTTACGTGACACTTTCCAAGACGTACGTTCTCCTGTCACAATATCACGGCCTCGCTGACAACGCAGTATCAAATATTTCGCCCCCGAGGTCTCCCGCTTCAGACCCGAGCTCGTCTGGTGGATATTCATCCCTGCCGATGTCGTCTGTCTCGTCCTCCAAGCTGCAGGTGGCGCATTGTCAACCGTCAGTCAAGGATCCAGCCAAACTGGTATCGACATCGCCTTAGCCGGTCTATCTCTACAGGTCGTCATCCTCGTTCTCTTCTGCGCTCTTCTCGGCGACTATCTCTGGCGATACTTCCGTAGTGGAAATGTCAGTGCTATGGGCAGACGCATGAGGATCTTCTTCGGATTCTTAAGCGCCGCAGTTATTCTTATTCTTGCGCGTTGTGCATTCCGATGCTATGAATTGAGCAAGGGGTATCGAAACTCGGATCTCATCACGGATGAGGGGTTGTTCATTGGTCTTGAGGGAGTGTAAGTTGCAAGTGTCTTTGTCGGTGACCTGTACTAACTATATTCAGGCTTATTGTCATTGCAGTGTTCTTTTTGTGCATCAGCCACCCAGGTCCTGTGTTCAACGATGCGATGACGACGGTGCCGGGCACCTCGCAGAGCGATGCCGATGCCGAGAAGTGAGGTCGAACGAAAAGTACTTGATGTTTTGGTGATGTCGATGCCAGGATGATATCTGGGGTTTCTGTGTGAAGCAATAGAATATAAAGGACTATTGGATAGAAATATGGAAGAGTACATGAATGCACGATCCAGTCTTTGTGTCGAACAAGTGACTTGGTATCCTCCCACTCTGCTGAGTGGCCGAGAACAAAGACCTATGGTGAACGCTAATCACTTCTAATAATCATATCCCTGGGGTTTCACCTTTGCAATGTGTGTCCCAGGCTTCTGTATCTTCCCTACCTTCAGCGCTGTACATTGGGGGCTATGTTTTAGGTGGGAAGAGTGGAGGCTCAGCGCCAGTGCTCGCTTCTGAAGACTGGGGTCATTCACAGGGCATCATCACAACAGATACTGTCACAAGTCACATCTTACAGTTTATCATCAAGTTCTTAGACGAAAGGATTTCGCATTTTCTCTAGCTTGTGGGCTTAAGCCACCGCTGATCAGAAAGTCCAGCCCAACAGAGCGACTTAATACCAGAACAAAACATCATTCTCGAGCCCATAAACAGGGGAACATCGAGTCAACCACCATTTCCTTTCCTTTCGTCTCCATCAACCCTCACTCTGATCCGTTTTTCATTCAATCCGGATTCTTCCCCAGTGATCTTGCCACGATTACTGGGAATCGCAGTTGCACCAGCAGTTCTTCTCACAGATAGGGTTCCATTCATGACGACGGAACCGGCCGTCGTTGCCACAGCTGTAGGACCAAGGGGCGTAGTAGCACTTCTGGTACCAGAAGGCGCACTGGATGTTGCAGGATGCCATCTTCTCACCCTTGGCGACGAAGGCATCGGGGGTAGCGACGGGAGCGGTAGTCTCAGTGGTGAGGGTGGCAGCCTCAGCGGGAGTGCGGACAACTCCAGCGTTGACGAGGCCAAGAAGGAAGAGGACTGCGATGGTCAGAGAAGGCATGGTGTTGGGGATGGTGCTGGACTTACGGAAGGCGATGAGCTTCATGATGATAGATGTCTCTGAAGGTAGAGATGATTGAGTTGGGTAGTGTTTGTTGTTGTGGTTGAAGGAAGTTGCTGCGATACGATGTCAGGTGTGTGAAGGTTGAAGGGTGAGGATGAAAGGTTCAGAATTGAGGGAGAAGCTCGTAGCTTTATAGCTGTGGTAAATAGTCACTGCGCCTGAAATTGATTCTAACAGTCACAGCTGTTCAGCAATGATTCACTGTGAATAGCCTCCATTCTGACCTTAGTTCGCCGAATGAGTCCGCTGGTTGGTCATGCATGGGCGGTGGTTCGGCTGCCACTGTGCCGGGCAGTGTGGTTCATAGCTCATAGCTGCCAGTGACAGAAGAAGGGATTGAACATCGCTATTGGTCTCTTGATACCGAGTGTGCAAGTGGATGATCCAGGTACAGGATGAAAAGAGGGATCGTTCATGATCCAGACAGAGGGGATGGATGAACTGGGATGAAGCAGAACACCAGCCACAATGCGAACCCAGGGAATAGCGCACAGAACTTGATAACACTTATCTCAGAATACTTCCATTAGGGTTGCATCTACCATCAGAACACCAACATACGGGCCGATCGTGCCGGCAAGTTGACGTCCTGAAAGATGGCGGTTGTCTCTCACAGTCCTCCATGAGGCTGGAGCTTTTCTCGTGGTACCTCAGCCTTGATAAAGCCCCCCTTCTTACGTGAACCCCGAGAGCAACATCAAATCAATTTTAAAGCTCTTAAATCCTTGATCTATAGCTGTGGAAAGCCACCTGATACAGGACTCCATGTATGCAGCGCCTATGTCTCCAGGCCCGAGAGACACCCTCTTTTCGAGCTGACTTTTCTCCTCTAGCAATTGCTTTGGAGGGAAGGAGATGACATTTCTTGTTTCCGGTATCTTTCACTTCCCATTCTAGTTCGCATTGTTTATGAGAGAAATACTTGTTCCCTATGGTCTTCTGACTCTTCTCATTGAGAGCTGGTTCCATCTCCTAACCTCTCTGCATCCATCCGTAGCTCGAGTGCAGAGAACTTATGGCTCTGATCCTAAATTCTAAAAATGTTTAGATGAATTTAGGGCAATTTAAGATAAGCTTAGTATACTCTTGGACAAGTTTATTTTCGCCCCTGATCCAGAGTCACCGCCCTGATGCTCAATTCTTAAGATGAGATACCAGCCTCACGTTCAATCTCCTCCTTACTAGGACACCACTTATCCTGCAACTCCTTATCCGTCGACTTTTCAATAACACTCTTCTCCCACCACTCACCCCAACTCGTCAAGAAGATCCGATCACGGTCCTCGGGGAAGTCACTTCGAGTCATCGCAGCAAGGACACTTTGTGCACCTGTCACACAATCAGTTACACGTCCCAGCACGATGGTGCACAAACTTACCCTCGGGGATCGACTTTGCGTCAGCCATATCAGCTGTAATGCCCATACGTCCCGCAAGACCTGTACCGGGGATGAGACCAGGTGAAACAGCAACCACGTCGTTGGTATCAGCGAGTTGGCGACGCCACCACTGTGCGCCGAGGAGGCCGGTGAATTTGGTGTTACAGTATGTGGTGCTGGCGGAGGCACCAGATCCGGCTTTGAGTTCAGTGTCGAGTACGCCTGTACGAGATCAGAAAATGAGACTTAGTCTTCGGTGATTTGACTTACTGGGATCAGAGACTCGTCGAATAGCGCCGGATGAAACAAACACGATCCTCGACTTAGACTCAACCAACTTCTCCCTCAAAAGATGCACGAGATAATGCTGCGCTACAACCAATCAGTATCTCACATCCAGCCTCACTTGGCAAACTTACAAAGGTGGTTCACGACATGCGGTTCACACCACTTCGACCCATGCGGTCCCGGCCCCTCAGCAGCAACACCTCCCAACCCTGCATTAAGCAACAAGTAATCAATCTTCTCTCTCCCAATCTTATCAAGCGTCTGCTCCGCAAACGACTTGACGCCCTTCAAATCATTCAACTCCAAGGGAAGAACAGTGACTCCGTGAGATTCACGGTCGAATTTAAGCTCATCGTAGGCTTTCTGTGCATTTTTGGTGTTGCGTGCGCCGAGGATGACTTTGTATGGTTGACTCTGGCTGAGGAGCTGTTTGATTGCTTCGAAGCCCTGTAGATGTTAGTGTTTGTTACACAGCGCTGTGGTTTGAGGGCTCACGATGCCGGATGAAACGCCGGTTGCTACGATTGTTTTTGCGAGGGAAGTCATTCTAAACGATTAATTGAGGATGAATTGCTTGTAAGTGTTGGGTGCTGACGGGTTGTTCTTAAGGGAGTTTTTGGCGGGGTTATCGGATATAAGTGACGTAAACACTGTTGACTTCAGTTCACCAGCTTGCAGATTGTGTAAGCGGACAAGAGAGTGAACAGGGTTCATAGCGAAAAGTGGTCTTAAATCTGAGGTAATCAAGATGAAATTATTAATTGTCTATTCATTTTTACTTTTCTAGGCCGGGCCCGTTACGTGTTCATGTGTTGGGCTTGTCAAAGTCATGTTCTACGGTCTATGGTTTCAACGTTCTCGACCCCAACAGCGACACCGTGTTCACTCACAAGTACGCAGGACGTCTTCTCTCCCGCCTTGCTTTGATCTTGATGACTGGCTTTGCGAAGTTTGAGGATCTGATAGCGTTAGATATACACTCTTGTACGTTCAAAGTACCGAATGTGTGCCAGAGTAATGATCAGGCTCTTCCCAGTACATTCTTTCAGTCGAGGGATGCTCGAATGTCATGGGGTGGAACAGAGGATGAGTCGATATCGTAGATAAAACTCAGCAGGTTTCAGAGCTGCAATGAGCCCATCCTTACCTCGGAATCGGTCCAAGACCCAGCCTGCAAAACAGTCAGCTTCATCACATCACAGTCCACAGCATCACTTGCATAGCTTTCTTCCACCCAGCAATAGTACTCCTCGGAATCTGAAAGTGATTCTCCGCATCCGTCGTAGAAGGCGGCACCATTTCTCCCCTCCGATCAACACGATGATGAAGCATCCACATGATAACCTCCTCCTTCTTCCTCTTCGAATAACTAGCCTCCTTTCGCACAATCGGTGTAGTCCGTAGCACTTTACGTTCTGACAACGGCTTTGGCTTTGGTCCTCTCTTCTTCTTGGGCGGAGGTCCCATATCATATGTTACTTGGCCCCTGGATGAAGACTCAGGTGCTGGTGTAAATGCTACGGAGGATGGTGCGGGTGTTGAGGCGATGGAGTGAGCGGCTGGTGTTGAAGCAACTGATTGGGGAGCTGGAGTAGATGGCGCTGGCGTAGGAGCAGCGGATTGAGGCCCTGGAGTTGGAGTTGGTGTAAATCGAGGTGTGGCTAGTGGTGTAAAGAGAGGATATTGCTGAGGTGTCATGGCGGGAGTACCCTGGGGTGTGAAAAGGGGACTTTGGGGAGGAGGGTGTCCTGTTTGAGGAGCATAGTGAAGGTGTGCCATGTGTAGGGATGGCGGCATCTGAGGATGAGGACTCTGTGCCATTTGCGGACGAGGACTTTGTTGCATATGAGGATGTGGAGATTGAGGCATCTGATGGTGAGGTGGCTGCGGCATATGGGAATGCGGAGACTGTGGCATGTGAGTATGTGGTGACTGCGCCATCTGAGGGTGAGGACTCTGTGGCATTTGATACGGAGACTGAGGCATCTGATGAGGCGAGTGAGCCATGTAAGGTGAATGCGGAACCTGATGAGTATGAGGATACCCCATATGCGGATGCTGAGCCATGTGTGGCGATGGCGGCATACGAGGATGAGGCGACTGTGGCACCTGGTGATAAGGAGAATGCGGCATCTGAGGATATGGAGACTGAGCAACTCGAGGTGACTGATGCTGAACCATTTGAGGGTGTTGAACCTGAGCCGGAGCTAGAGGTCGTTGAGCCGTTCGAGGTGACTGAGCCACGTGCGGTGATTGCGGAACTCGTGGTTGTGAAACTCGGGGTGATTGAGAAGTCTGCAAAGGTTGAACTGCTTTTGAAGCTTCAGCCCCTTCGGATGGTTGAGGAACTGCTGGTTCGGCTTTTGAAGACTCAACAGCCCCTGAATGAGTCACCTTGGAGGCCTCATCGCCCTCAGTTAACTCAACCACCGTATCATTCTTCTCCGAAGCAGCCATCGCGACTATCACAACCCTTCAATGTAGTAAAGAGAAGCTGAAGGTGATGGTTATCCAGAAGCCATTCGAAGTCTCCACTGATCCGACGGAAACTCAACAAACTCGGTCAAGTTAGCGTCACGCTAATTTCTTGGACCATAAAAACGATCAATTCAGTACTTCACCGCCGGCCAAGTAATGCCCACGCTCTAAGTATCCTTGCTCAGATTATTTTGCTGCCAAAAGATCTACCAATCAACTCTTTGCTTGGTCTTCGCATTGAGCAGGGGTATCCAGTTTTATGTTGTCCGACTTTCAGCTTCGCAATTGTATACTTCGGAAATAGTGCAGGCGCGTCTTCCTGGATCACAAGGGTTGTGATGAGAGACGCGGTTTAAGAATGAGAATGTTTTGTAAGGAGTTTACATGAGATGGTTGAGTTCAAGTACCGGCTGTTTTAATGTCAGGACTTTCACTCAATTGTTAAATAATGGCCGGAAGAGCCTCTGTATCATGTATCTGGTGATCTTATTTCCGTGAACATCTTCTGTTCAACGAACAGTACCGCAACTCAACGTTCACACTCATAAGCAAGTGTCCATATATGTCAAACAGGCCGATCTTGCAGCCTTCTATTTCGGTCTATGTAACCAGCTCAGCTACAACATAAATAGTACTTTTAAACTCTCTTAGTTCTCAACTCCTCGGGCAACAGAGCAACCTTCTCATTAAAGAGCTTCTCAGCATCAGCCCACACCCGCGAAGTCTTACGGTCCTTGAGCGTAAGCAACGACTCCTTGAGACCCTCGCTAAAGGCCTCACTGGCCTCGCGGGGAAGCATTGAAGGAAGGTGATCAATGCTGATGACAGACAGGGGGAGGTTGTTCTGGTCGTCCTTGATCTCGACGGGGACAGTGGGATCCTCGAAGGTGGTGTTGATGGAGTAGATGGGGATGGGGTTGTGAGGGTTTGTGGTGTCGCACGAGACGTCGATGACAACGGCGAGGTTGCGGCCTTGCTTGGCGAGGAGTTCTTGGTTGATGAAAGGGGGAATGGGCTTGGAGAGGTAGATGGCGTTGAGGAAGACATCAGCCTTGGCGATCTCCTCATAAGGGCCTTGAAAGGGTTAGTTGCCATCATTGAAAGAACACATACAACTTACCATCACGGTTCTTGGTCTCGTTCAAGTCCCAACGGGTGATGTTCTCATCAGGCATGCCAGCCTTGAGGAACAGGTCAACGGCACCCTTACCACATCGTCCAAGAGCACCGAGGACGAGAGCAGTAGGCTTACGTCCCAGAGCCTTCTCAGCCTTGGCGAGATCCTCGCGAATCTGGTTGACGAGCTCATCCTCGTTCAGGTAGTATCCGCGGCCATCGGTGAATGTCTCGACTGAAGGGAGCTTAGAAGACGAGTCCTGCAGCTGGTGGGCAAGCGTCTTTATTCCGAGCGCAGCTCCTGCAAAACCAGCGTGGAAACCGAAGCTGAAGAGTCGTTAGCAAGTGAGACAGAGACGATCTGGAGTTTGCTTTGTTGCGAAGTTCAGTTGTCGATGGTTGAAGCACCCGCAAAACCCGCGTGAAACCCAGCCCAATCCAACACTGGTCAGACTTCGTATTCGGACTGCATGAATCCAACTTGGAAGGCCGTAGCAAACCTCTCAACCCTCCCAAGACCTCGCTTGAGGTACAGCACAGATACTGCTTTGGTCTCGATAGTAGGAACCCGGAGTGAAGCCCCATGAACTACGAGCTTTGGTAGATGAACGGTGTAAGAGCCCATTTACAGAGCTCATACACCCTCGATCACACACCGGCAAAGCCGACTAACTCCAGGCGCAGATCGATTTTCCAAGAGATACCTCTTAGCTCTCCATATCTCAAGATCGCGTCGGGAAACTCAAAACTCCAGTGTACAACCGGGGCTTTGTGTATGTATGACCCCTTTGAGGTTCTCGCGCAAAGATGGCAACAACCCCATTTGAAAGCTTGACTTCTGATCCAGTCAAAGGTCGTATTTCCCGACCACGCTCTTAGAAGCTCGAAGCTCTAAGTGCGTTGGTTGTGGGGTTGGGGCGCGAACCCGCCCTCTCTTCAACCTCGAAATCTTCAAAAAAGGGGCAAAATCGCCACATTTCAAGCTTCATTTTAGGGAAAAAAAACTTACGCCGAAACCCGACGACCTTCAGAATCGTGCAAGAACTCCAAGTCATACAAAACTGAGCCGCCTTGTGCCCAGCGACCGAGTACCTTCTCCCAGCCCCCTTGATTCTAGGACGAGATGCGTCAGTTGAGATTTCGTCCGGGTCGTGGGCTAGCAATGTACCTTGTAGCAGTGGGCAAATGTCTATGTCAAGTTAGCAAACGTCACTCTCTCGTTCCAGAAATCTGACATACGATGTGGTCATTCTTGAGAGGGAAGTCCTCCTCGGGTATCTCCTTCAGCCCCAGGATGATTGTCCCAGGCTCAGCGTTGGGCCAGACACCCGTGTCGACAAGACGAGCGCCAGCAGCCTCATACTCTGAGTCCTCAAAGATACGCTTAAACTTGGGGTCTGTGGACGATCGCTCGACGGAAATGGGGTATCCAGCATCGACGAGTGTCTTGATAACGGCGGGGGAGAAAGATCGGTGCTCGAGTGGCTTCTCCTCAGCGCGAAGTAGGATGTGGGGATATTCAGACATGATTGTGATGGTTCTTAAGCTGTCAATTCTGAAGTTTGGAAAAGAATTAGCTATTTGCTTTGGATATTGCGATCGAATTGCAAAAGTTGGATGCGAGTGGCGGAGAAGAGTGCAGCGGGTGAAAAGACTCAATGAGGATTCAATTGACGCGACGGAAAACATAGAAGGGAAGAAACGCACAGTAGGACGCGATTGTTTTATAGAGGGATGATCGAAATAGGAAGGATATCGCGTACCTGGTGTATTGGATGTTTTTTTTTGTATCTGAGTCACAAAAAAGAGTCAAGGTGTGAATATTGGGATGGTCTGCTCCTGGATCGGCCTGAGACTGCGACCCCGGCGAAAAATGGCCCCGCTCCCGCAGCCGAACAACCCCGCGGTGGGGAGCATTGTGTCTCTTTTGGGTTTAGCGAGGGGAATTCGAAGCTGTTTTGATGATTGCATCATTAATTCAGGTCCTAGCTCTGAAGCTTGAGCGCAATGGAACTGCCGTGAATTCAATGCGGAAGTATTTCACGAGAAGACTGCGGCGAACCCTGAGTTTCAAGAGACTGGGATCTATAGCTGTAGAGGCTTCAATTTTGTTACTTGGATTAAACTTCATTACGAGGTTGACGAGCACCGATCGGAGTTTGGTGACAAGTGCTATTATTCCCTTCCTCCACCTGATGATTCAAATAAAACTTAGGCCAGGCTGTTCCAGCATCGGCATCATGACATATTCATATCATTCAGGGGCAATTGTGTGATTTGAACCTTGATAATAGAAATCGAGTATTCGCAATCTCATCATTATACCTGTGGTGACTCGGAATATTGTGAGTCACCAAGATACCTTACGATTTGCTTTACTTTGTGACCCATGCAGCTGTCAACATCAATTGAACAGAAGAACACCCCAAATATTACCAATTTTCAAGCACTCAGCTCTTCAGCTCTTCAGCTCCCTCCCATCATCATTATTCCCATTAGTCCCATTAAGCCCTACCAAGCTTGACCAAAATGATCCATCTCACTCCTGTTCCTGGCCCACTTCCCAGCCAAGCAACCATCGATCGCCGGAAATGATGCGCTCATTCAACAGATCGGATCGCGTTCCTTGGACGACAGCATCAGATCGGTCCAACCTTGTTCAGCTGAGACCATGCACGCACTTAAACGTCAGAGTCAATGTACTTTAATTAGGTTGAATCGATCACCGTAAGCTATTTGCGACGCATTGTTTATACCTTTTTTTCTATGACGCTACGATTAAGAGATGGCTGGAATGACGACACGGCTGAGACCAAAAGCAATAACATTGGTTACAAAACCTGGGTGCTGGTTTGGACAAATCTTTGTTTTTCTCATCAATTGATCGCAATTGCTCAATTCGCTTGATATCACACATATTTCAATTCAAAGCTGTAAACAAGGCCGCAATCATGAAGGGCAACGATAAAGTTATCCAAGAGTTCAACGAGGTCGTCAACATGACGGCCTCGGAGCTCGAGAAGTGGCTCAAGTCGGATGATTCCAACAGTGCTGGCTGGCCAAAGGAGGATGAGAACGGTGAGACTGTCGGACATGACAGCGGTCGCAAGATTGTTGAGATCTTGAAGGAGAACCCCAAGAAGGAACCTGAGAAGTACACCGATGAGCAAGTCCAGCACATGCGCAAGGTTGTTTCCTACTGGTAAGTCTCTCACGCTGATTACGACTGTTATCAGATGCTCTGCTGGTCAATTGGATGTTAACACCCCGCAGCAAGCGACATCTTGCTCAAGAGACAAAGGCCAACAACGACAAATCGCCTGAGGAGGTCAAGAAGACAAAGTCCTACGCGTCGCTCAAGAACTGGGGCCACGATTTCCTCAAGGCTCAAGGCAAGGAGAATGGTAGTGAGAAGAAGGAAGATAGGGAAGATAGGGAAGATAGGGAAGATAAGGAAGATAAGGAAGAAGCGAACGACGACGCTGAAGATGCCGAAGAAGAAGGCGATGATGATGAGAAGCAAACCGGTGAGAAGAGAAGAGCGAGTCGAAGCCAGACTGGTTCCAACAAGAAGCGCGAGACTCGCAAGGGAGAGTCTACAAAGTCCAATGATGAAGAGGAGGAGGAGGAGGAGGAGGAGAAAGAGGAAGATGATGATGATGAGAAGAAGCAGGGACAGAAGAAGCAGTCCAATGGCCAGTCCAAGAAGTCCAACGGATCCTCAAAGAAGGAGGAAGATGCTGAAGAGGAGCAAGATGATGATGAGGGCGGTGATGACTCTGGCACAAAGAAAGGACCAAAGAAGGGTGAGACTGTGAGCTGGAACTGGGGACAGGGACAGCCCAAGGGCAAGGTCTTGGATGTCAAGGCTGAAGAGTGAGTATTCATAATTATTTATGAGATGGGTTACTAACATTGAGTGCAGTACCACGATTACGACGAAGAATGGCAATGAGGTCTCCAGAAAGGGTGATGAAGAGGACCCTGCTGTTGTATTGGACACGGGCAAGAACAAAGCTATTAAGAAGGCTCATGAGCTGAACTAGATGGTTTCTATATAGGTTTTCATTGAGTGGTAATAGAGGAAGGGAATTGTTTGTATTTTGCTGGATCTTAACATCGTAATACCATGTTTGCATTTCAACGCTGGGCTTCTTTTCACTTCTCTGTGAACATAACCCATTGACAAAAGTATTCTCAAGACACACAGTGAGCGCCTACGCGCCATCATCAATTGACACCACCAAGATATCGACAAAAATTACAAAAAAGAAAGCACATCTCAATCATGAATATGTATTTATAGGAACAGCCCGATGCGGGGGTCGAACCCGCAACCTTGAGATTGTGAACTCTTAAGAGTCTCACGCTCTACCGATTGAGCTAACCGGGCGTGCTTCGCCGGGTGATCAAGCCCGTGTGTTGAGATCAGTAGCCAGAAAGTGGTATTATATTGACGAGACGACGTAGTATCTATTGATGAGATCTTGGTGTTCTGTTGTTGGGTGCTGGTGAGGTTGTGGATGGGATAAGATTTTGTAAGAGCCTGGAACATGACAGCTTGAGGTTTAGTGAGTTGGCCAGTAAAAGCTTGTGTTGTTTGTTGTGGAAGAAAAGGAAATCGCTCTGCTGAGGCAAACCTTGGCCCAACTTGGTGGTAGCCCTTGAACTCAAGGATTTGGATGATTGAATTGGGAAAGCTTTGTGCAAAGTGAAAGGATTATGAAAATGCCCCTCTGGCTATTCTGACGACTTTCTATCAAGAACTAGCATAGGTTCCGTGTAAATAAACTGTTTTGATCCAATGCCATGTAAACAAACAGGAGCCGCCTCAATCTATAGGGTAAATCTGACGTCGATGAAGCTTCATCGTCACAAGCCAAAGTCCATGACAGCGCTTAGGACAGTGGGTCTCGATTGAGCTTCAACCGTTTCATGATACCAACAACAAACCATGATGGAGATTACCTGCGGCAAGAAATCAATATACTCTTTCACATCTCGATTCCAAGTAAAGCCCAGCTAAAGCCACTTATTGCCAGCTGCTTTCACGCACCTCTTCTCGAGTTCTCTTAGGCTCGTGCAACGAACAGCGGGTAAGCTAAGTTAGTGGATGTCAGCGCAATGTGGGGTCCGCGCCGCCTGTTTCATGAGGAGCTGCTTGCTGCAAACGGGCGCAGCACTTCCTCGAGTTAAGCTTTCCTGGAATCTTATCGTCAACGGCAACTCTGTTGCTTGCTTCCATTCCCTTCCCCTCTTTCATTACTTCTACAACGGCCTCATTTAGCGTTTCCTTTCTCTAACGTGTCATTAACATTATCTATCTTCAGCCTGTAAACTGCCTTTCTTTTCTTTGTTCTATTCGATTCTCGTTTTTTCGCGATTGCGCGGCATGATTCTTGACCTCCAATCGCAACCGTCATGACCAGTCACCCTCCATCATGTGAGAGCACCAACTCGAGATCATTATGCCCAGGACTAACAGACAACAGGATTGAACCCTCTATTCGCGTCCGTCGGGCAATTCATGCCAATGATGCGACTCTTCTCCGCCGAATTCTGAAGACACATCCCAATCTTCTCCTCAACCCCGACTCTTCACCATCCGGCCTCTCCAATTCGAACATGCACCTAGCAGCCTCCCTAGGTCACCGCGAAGTCTGCGAAGTACTCCTGCAACTCGGCCACGAAGATCCAGTCCCCGCACTCAACGAGACCCATCAAACAGCGCTGATGCTCGCCTCAGCCGGTGGCCATACCGAGGTTGTACAACTCCTCTGCGAACACGACAAAACATGCATTCTTCGTCGCGACATTCGAGGTCGTGATGCCGTGATGGAAGCTAGTCTTGGCGGACACGACACTATTGTTCAACTCCTCCTTACCTTTGTCCCAGGGGGACCTTACGACGCAGTCCGCCGTGCGGACGTGGAAGGAAATACGGCACTACATTTTGCGAGCGGGAACGGAAACTTGTTGGTGCTGCGAACGCTGCTGGCGGCGGGCGCGGATATACATAAGCGCAACATTTGGAACTGGACACCGGCTGCGTACAGCGCTACTGTTCAGGCTGAGGTCTATTTAAAGGGTTTGGTGAATGAGGTTGGAAAGAGACAGCAGCAGCAACAGAAGAGGGAGATTGAGTCGGCTAAGAAGGGAGGCGGAGTTCGAGTTGTTGAAGCCACAAGCGATGAAGACTGATTCAGGCAGAGTTGCCGAATCTGCCAATGCGGCTCTTCCATGCCGCCTGATGTGCGTCGGATCTCATGACCTGATGTCGACATCGACACCAGCAGAACCGGCTTCACACATCCAATCATTTCTTCGACTCTTATCAAATGCCTTTCGCCATCTTTTTTCAATTTTGTCAGTCTACAATACTCAGGAAAGCGTCACGGAGTTAATCTGAATTGAATCGATTCACTATGCATTGTCCATCAACTGTTTTTGACCTGCGCCATTCACAACCAACTGTCGCCCGATCTGAATGGTGTTGCATGTTCACTCACAGCATGTCCTGTCGATCTAATGCATGATTACAACCATTCCAGCTGCTCTGACGAACCAGATATTCACTGCATTTTCAGGCGGACAACCACTACGAACCAAGCCAAGTGATTGGATACCAGGCATCAACCGAGCCGTGTGGCAAGTTCATGTGTGATGCACGACACGCTGACAGGGTTGTACCGTCACGAGGCTGTGTTCGTTAACTGCGTATCACATCTGAAGTTGACCTGAATAGCTTTGCCCCGGGAACTTCATCCAATCGTACCCCGCATCGCCGTCGTTTAAGAATAGCTGCGAGGTTGACGTAATGGCTGGTGAATCACTTTCAGCTCATGAGTCTCGTGACTCCTGTGAGAACATACTCACGAACAACCCGACGTCTTGCCTACACTACCTCTGCTTTGGAACCTGATTCATCGCCAAGACGTGTAGTTGATCATGTCAAGATCTCTGTTCCTCAGCAGCATAAATAAACACTTCCATCGTCTCACGAACTTGTTCCTGTCAACCAGCCGTCCATCATTCTCCTCAGTTCGTTTTTCAGACTCGTCCTTATGTCCAACTCAAGCCCGGTTCACTGTAGGACTATTGAGGACGTCCCGCTGCCATATCCCGCTTCCAAGCTGATCATCACCCAACGTCTTGAAGCATCACAAGAATCACCTTTCTGGGCGTGGATCATTGTTGGTGCATTCTACGACAGACAAGATAACGTCCTTTGGAGCACCGAGATCTTCGCTGGTCGCTTGGACATAGATTCGGACTCTGGCGACGAGTCTAGTGATACTTCGTCTGTGGCGGAGAGTTACACTGAGGAGACAGGTTCTTCAGGTAAACACTGATTCCTTGAAGATTTGCCTCAGACATTCATGCGCAGAATGCTCTATATAAGGCACTGTGTCTTCCACAATTCTGACTCTCCTCAGATATCTTCTCTTCCTACCAAGAACGATCCTATCATCACAACGAAGCTTTGAACTATCAAGTGCCTCCGGCCCACCGAGTCTTTCCATATTGGAGCCAATCTCCGCCATACGCTATACCACCAACTTGGGATCCAACAACCCAAGGTCAAGTTCCCGGCTTCTGGCAAGCATCTTTCGATCCGAACGTTCGTCGTTGGGTTCATACCTGGCAACCTCTCTGACTCCCCTCCCCTCCCCTCTCGTGAACAACCACCATGTCTGGTTGGAACCCAATCAACGGTCGTGACGCTACAGGCTCACGACCGAACTACTCACCCGTTGGTGCACCGATCCCATCGCAGGGTCAGCCGTACGTTCCTCATCTTGGTGGCCCTGGGTATAACTTTGGTCTAGCTCCCCCCGTGTATGGCTATATGTACCCCGGCACAGCTGCATATGGCCAGCCCGTTTACGGATTCCCTCCTCAGGGGCCAGTTGCTGGGTTTCAGACTCAGCAGACTTACGCTCATCAGCCCAACGGGACTGGTAACATCCTTCCTCGCCAGGCGCAGCCCATTCCTCAGATTGATCCGAAGATGCCTGCTGCGCAGATGACGAACTCCTCTGGTGGTGTTGGCTGTGAGCCGGGATACAACTACTTCTTCCCTGCCAACCATACCAAGGTGCATGTATTCAAGAGCGATATCCCCCCTTGGCAGCTGCAGGCGAACGCCCAGATTCCCTTTATCGCCTCGCACGTTCCCACCTCGACGAAACTAGGCGATCTCCTGAAGGGATTTGGCTGCACCAATCCCTCAGCCAAGAAGAACATCTGCTTCGAGCTCTACAGTGGAGGAAATGGCAAGTGGTACAAGGGGTACTCATTCACGGGCGACGACAAGGATGAGATCGGCAAGACCATGGATGAGGTTGGCTGGGACTCGTCCAGGACTGGTAACAAAGGAGAGAAGCCTGTTGTCTGTCTCTGGTTCTGCAAGAGCTAACTTGGCTTGGTGCTGCAAAAGGCGATTTGGGGCAAGGATAGTTGCTGGACGTGGATTTTGTTACTGTTGTTCTTTGCTGGTGGAACGTCAAGTACATTTCATCTTTGAGCATTGGAGTTTGTGGTTTATGTCGCTGGCTTTGTTACTAGCTATGCAATCAATTGAGACGTCTGAATTCCTCCCATGATGCTTGCTTCAGTAATCTCGAACCGTGATGTTATAGGTCCAAGATACCCTTGGTTACGCCAAGATGTTGATCCGATGTCGTGACGCTAGGACCCTGTACTAGAGCTTTTGGTTGCATGATCTGCATGAGGTACCAAGTCTATTTCAACGCCGTGTAAGATGTCACACGAGAAGAACTGTCCGGTAAAAATAGCATGGCGTTACGAAATGGAAACCTTAGCTTTGCCCAAAAAGAAAGCTGAGTTACATAGCTCCATCCTCGCGCTTAACCCCACGTTCTCAGGTACCGCAACACCAACGCTCTCTCTTCAGACTACTATACTACGGCTTCCTCCCGTAAATGGAATAACTAAGATTCGGTTAGTGTTGATACGTGATAGCATGACCCGGAAGCTGAACTCACATCGGCCAGTAGGCGTGAACCTTCCTATCCCCCATAGTCTTCCTCACATCCATCAGAAACACAGTAGTATCCTCCACACTCCACCCATGTCCCCTCGTCAGCGCCGCCATAGTAATTGCCTCCAAACCACTCGAAAAGTTCTCATAGCACCAAGCCCCCAGCTCTTTATACTTCTTATCCTTCGGCCACGAATTGCTCGGCCACCTGAACCTCTCGATCTTGACATCCACGAAGCCAATCTCCGTCATGACGTCTACTAGCGCTGGGATATCTACATAAGGACGCCCAAACCGCTCTGATGCCTCTTGTAGGAGCTTGAGACACTTGAGGAGTGCGTTATCGGGCTTTACGGTGTCGTCGTCGGATTTGATGGTGAGATCTGCTTCTTGGAGTTCGAGATAGCCGTTGGGGGTTAAGTTTCTGAGATTTGGTTAGATGGGTTGTAGTTGGGGTGTGAAGGGGGGATGTACTGGAAGCATTGGGTGAGGTATTTCTTCCAGTCGCTGATGCAGGAAGTCATGAAACGGCTGTGGATGTAGTCAAATGGCTTTGAGTAGGTCCACTCGTCTTCGATATCGTCAATCTCAAAGGTCACGTTAGGGGGGATGCTGTACCACATAGTTAGCACTGTACAGACTAACTGATAACTATTTCATGCAAGTATATAAAACTCACAAGCTTGGTTGAATAGGGGAGAGGTCGACGCCGATGACCTAGATCGTCAGTTTCTCCAAATCGTTGGAAAGGATAGTTCGAATTGCACTTACTTCTGCTTCTGGGTGTTCATCCGCAAAGTCCATTGCCCAAATACCCGTGCCAGTTCCCAGGTCCAAGACATGGTTCACTTTTGTGTCTGGATAACATGGCGGTGCGAGGCCAAGCTTATCGCCAAAGGTGAGCAGGAACAGATTATGCTGTAGATCTAGGCACGTAATCAGCAACTGAAGATTGAAAACTGATGTAAATGCAGGTCATACCTAATCTTTCATTCTCCCTCTCATCATTCGGCAAGACATACTCTAGAAGTGGAATTAGAAGGCTCTGGACAAGTTGAGACAGTGTAACTTACTGCCGTCTTTGTACGCATGATACGTCCTCCCGTTTTCACAGCGGTAATTGAAGATTGACTCAGATACACTTGCTGTAGTAGATGCAGAGTCCTAAAGCCATGCATATTAGCATCTAAGATATGCCATGGATTGATTGGTTACTATACCTCACCCAACGTGGACTCATTATTCTCCTAGACCAATATGGTCAGATGTACTCACAGAAGCTCAATGTACCTGCTTACCTGCTCATCCGGTATAACAACAGGCTGTTCGTTCGTCTCAGCCATCTTAGCGTGAATTGATTGCTTCTGTTGAGATATTAAACCGCCTCAACCATTGGGAGGATGGACTGATTCTTATGGTGAACATGCATGCTTGGCGAGACCTGTGATTGGCGAGGGATGTTGCCTGACATTTTGCATGCTTGTTGGTTATACATGCCAGACACGACCAACAACACCAGGTTCCCCGCCTCTGCATCAGGAAATGCCACGTGTTGTTACTTGGAAGAGAAGCGGTCCTTAAGAAAGGAACACATCTTTATGATTCTCTGTGCTCCGAGTATGTAGGGAGTAGTCTAAGGATTATTGAGATAGTTGGTGCCTGTTGGTGTTTAGGATGATCCAAGATGGGACACTACCGGGTGACCAGCGCTTTTATCTATCCTAAGTTATGAAAAGCCTTGGGTATATTTCTTTGTGATCTAGGATAGTTTAGGATAACTTATGATGAGTTGAGATCAACTTGGATGACCTTTTGTCCTTTATTTTCGACTCCTGATTCAGAGTCTTTAATCACTAGTCATCCTCTCTATTCCTTCACGCTCTCATCATTCTTCTTCCTCCCCTTCCAATGAGTCCTAGCCATCTTCAACAACCCCCAAGCCAGTAATCTATACACCACCACACAAGCCGCCAAGCACGCCACATTAACAACAGGATCAACATCAAAGTTATACAACTCCAACACCTGCTGCCCCGTCTCAATCGGACACTTCCCATTCTGTAGTCTCTGCTCCTCATTACACGTAAACGTAATATCCCGCAGTGAGTACGGCGCTACAGCTCGTGTGCCGTACCGAATGGGGGAGAGGTAGTTGAACGCTTTGAAGAGCTCCGGCATGTCGATGGAGAGAATACCAGCCATTGTGTTAGCCAGCGCGAGGAACACGCCCATGATGTTGACGGCGAAGCCGGTGTGGCCGAAGAGCGTGTTGAACATGATTCCCAAGGACTCACCACATGATACGATTCCAAAACAAGCAAACACCGAAACAAAGTACAGCGTCGCAGTCCGCGGAAGATCAACAGCAATAACTCCCAAAACACCAAAGATCATACAACTGATAATCTCAAACGGCACCTCCAGAATCGTATATGCCGCCAAGAACGCATGCACACTATAAACCCCATCATCATCCTCTCTATAAAACACATCCCTTTCATTCGGATAGATCGCCGTGTTCTGCAACATGCCCACAAAGTAAAACGCTCCAATCTCCTGCACAAAGCCCATTCTGTTCTGGACGGAGTAGTAATCGTTGTCGAAGGGCGCGAAGAATAGGGCGAGGACGAGGGCGAGGCCGATTACTTGCATGAGGCGTGCGACGATGAGCTCGGGTTGGCGGTAGGTGTTTATGGTGGCGCGGTGGAGGAGGAGGGGGAGGGATGTTGTTATGGGGGCGCGTTTGCGGATGAGGGCGCCGAGTTCCGCGGGGGTTGAGAGGTTGGCTTTGTTGAAGGAGCGGCGGTGTCTTGTGTTCTGGCTGTTGTGTTGTTCAGGGGTATCTTTGATGCTTTCATCTCGAGTGCCAGCAGGCTTTTCGTTGGTAGAAGAACTCTCTTCTTTCCAATGATCGATCAGTTTCTGAACTCGCTTTCGAGACTCCAACTCTCTTCCTTCCTGTTGAAGATCGATAGTGATCATATCGAGTGCAAAGTCAGCCGGGTTGGTATGTGTTGGACACTCGTATCCATGGCGCGCAAGATATCCGAGCATGTCCTTTCCAGGACCAGAGTAGACTTGCGAACCGCCTCTTGCTAAAAGTAAAACGTTTCCAAACTCCCTGAACAGATCGGATCGAGCTTGATGGATCGTGAGAATAAGAGTTCGACCTTCGTTGGCAAGACCTTGAAGAACTTCCATGATAGAATTCGCGGTAAAAGCATCCAACCCAGAAGTTGGTTCGTCCAGAAGAAGAATACGAGGATCAGTGAGAACTTGTACTGCGATGGAAACTCGACGTTTCTCTCCTCCAGAAATACCCTTGACAAGTTCACCCCCAATGAGGTTATCAGCACAATCCTTCAAACCCATCTTCAACAATACATCTTCTGCCCGACGGTTCTTCTCCTCTTTGCTCATGAAAGACGGCAGGCGAAGACCAGCGGCAAAGCGGAGTGTCTCACGAACTGTAAGTGATGGCAGCAGCGCATCATCATCTTGACAGACATATGAACAAACTGATCGAATAACCGAATCCGAAGGGACAGCGCCGTTGAAAGTGAGCTTTCCAGCTGGTCGATACTTCGTCCCCACGGAATTCCGCAGTCTCAGAGCCATTGAGTTGAGAAGTGATGTCTTTCCACTCCCCGAAGGACCCATAATCACATTCAAAACTCCCGCGCTGAACGTCGCATTTACAGGATTAAGAATCGTCTTTGTTGGTAATTTCTTCCCCAATTGAGTTCTCTTATCCAAAGCAAGCGAGAATTGGTTGAGTTCCAGGTCAATGGCTCGAACGTCTGCGACTGATCGTGCAGTCATCTTTTCTTTTCCAGCAGAAAGATCGGTATCTGAGACACGAGCACGCGCAATCGTCATTTCGACTTTGAGAATATGAAGTCCAATGACTGAAAGCACGACGAAGAATATGACGAAGGCGAGGCACACAAGGATTGGCTTAGCAACCCAGGCTTTGGGGAAACCGAGAGATGCCATTACATATGAGCCCGTGTACTGTTTACATCGCGGGTCGGATTCGTCGCCGAAGGGACAATCGTAGAAACTCCCTTCAAACTCGTTTCCGCAGTACGCGCTAAAGACGTAGAACTACGCATGTCAGTATTAGACATATGAGTGAGTGTAGGATCATACCGTGTAAGTGAGCCATTTGAGCCATCGGACGTAGACAGGCAGACTGTTCACGTTGATGAACATTCCACAAGCCATACTCTGCAGCGTAAAAACCAGATTTGCTATCACACTCGCTCCAGCAAAGTGTCTAACCGTAGCAACACACGTCATGGCACACGTTACAGCAATGTACTGGTTCAACAATGTGATCGCAAAGAAGGTAAAGAACTTCTCAACATCACGATCAAATCCAGCCATGAAGTAAAAGATAACCGAGAAGAGAA